GCTGCAGTGCCTGGCTGCGGCATTTACAGCATTGGTTATTCTTTTTAGCTTTAGTGTGCCAAAAGCTTCAAACATCCCTACCTAAGCTCCTGCTTTAGGGAGAAATTCTTATCACAGCTAACAGTCTGAGGAGCGAGACAAAAGAGAGAAACCTAAATAGGGCCCGAGAAGAAAGGCAGAAGATTTAATACTGTGAAAGACGCCCTGGGACACCCTTCTTTCTGTCCCTGGATTGCATCTCTGAGTATATTTTTATACTCAGCATACAACCTCAAAAGTAATGATAGTGAGTTGCATCTCTGTGCTTTTTTTCCTCACATAGAATAAAGTTACTCTGAAGCCAGGGGAGCCTTTTGAGGGTGCACAACCCATGGAAATGGTAATAAAGATTTAGAAATAGGGAGTCAAGAAACATTTGCATGTCAAAAAGCAGTGCTCTCTGGGCTTTCCTATGTAGTACCGGAAGTTCCGATTTCCAACAGCTGTGCAAACGTGGGATAGAATTATCTAAACCCGCAGGGCTGGAACCTATGTCCAGGATTTCAAATGCACCACATCTGGTTGTAATCTTGACAAAGCGCCTCTCTAAAAATTCACAACTCATTTTCTTGCAAGAAAAAGGAACTGAGGCAGGAACCCAGTAGCATGTTTTATATTCACAGAACTTAATGTAAGATAGTCTCTCTTAAAATTTTAACTTTTCAGTTCAGAGATGTTCTTTTTAAAAAATAGTGACAACATAAAATTATTAACCTTTTATTTTGCCAAGAACATGTTAAATATATTTTTATTATCTCCATCATTTCTTAAAATAAGAAATAGTTTGTTGCAAACTCTTTCTCCCATTTGTATTCTGTTTACTGTGACTACCAACTGGAATAAATTACACCCAGCACTGAAAAAGGATGAGTTCATAGTGGCCAGATTCAAATGCAGGTAGACCAATTCAAATTAAATCCCAGATTCTAATAACCAACACTGATGCCAGGAAAGGGTTGTATGAACTGATAGTCTATATGTACCACTCCTGGGTTTCTGACATCAATATTTCCTACAAAAATTTAATTATTTATGTAATTAAAAGTTTTTTTCCCAAAAGGAGGTTTTATCTAATTATTCTAAATAAACCAAGACAACACACCTATACAATTAACTGAAATCTATTTTCTCTTGTAAAATTTGAGGCTAAATATAGAGAAGACCATCTCAGAATATAAGATAATATGTGCTTTTTTATATGCACATATAATATCTCTTTTTCACATCCATATAGTAAACACATCACTATGGAACAGTATTTAAACATACCACAGTAGAGTAATTAGCATTTACTAAATTCTTTATTCATTAAATACATTCTTTATTTACTATGTTTTTTATTCTTAAAACTTTGTCTCTAGTCTTCCTTTATCTAGAAGAATCTTATGTTACAAATATACCTGCCAATCCCATTAGGGCAATGCCAAAGGTAGGTATATAATAAATAGATACTAGATAAAAAATGATTTATAAATAGTTCTCAATACTTTTTTCAATGTAATTTTGTCCATATATTGTTTTAAATTTGGGGGGAAACTGATGCATCTCCCTCAGGGTCTGTCTTAAAAGAGATAGTCACAGGATAGAATAAAAACAACTAGAGATAAAGGAAACATCTTAAATCCACATCTCTGCGGTATATTTTTAATGAGTCACCCTCAATATGTCCCTCCATGTATAGTATGTGCTCACTTAACATTGTCAATAGATCCTGAAACTTTAAGTAAAATCTGAAGTATAATGAAACCAATTTAACCATAGACTAATGGATGTAAACAAAATTTAAGTCCTTGACATCTCATCAATGCTATAATGAATTGATGTCAAACAAAATGATTGAATTCAAGGACCTGATATAGTTATGAGTGCTGTCAAATGACAAGACTGAAACGATTTAGCAATATGTTTGACGTCCTGTCTGTTATTCAAGGTGAAAGAGTTCATGTGTTGGGGGAGTACAGTACCTAGGAAACAATGGAGCACCACTCCCAGAGGATTTAGGGCAAGAGCAAGTTTGACAGAGCATTGAGTCCACTTGAAATCAGAGCATGATTGCCTAGGAGGTTTAAGACTTCCTTATGAGGCTAGCAGACCCTGTTTTCTAGGGTAAGGTAAGTGAGCTAAAGTGGAGTTGGAGGATTATGATTTGTGTATGTTAGGTTTCCTTGACAGTAAGACTTCCTGTAAGGGTGGGCTGACTTAGGTTTAGATTTGTGACTAAGGCCAGGCCACCAAGACAACCTTCATTTTGTGGGTCCTGATACCTGAATCAACTTTATCAGTGCCTTAAAGCAAATTGTTTATTAGGTCACTAGAAGTCAATTTGGAAGCCAAAAATGGACCCCTAATAAGGGAAGAACTAGATATTATAATTAGGTATGGCAGTGGTTCCCTAACAAGCATCAGAACCACCTGGAGAGTTTGTTAAAAGAATGGGTCACTGGACACCACCCCAGATTTCTGATCTGGTGGGTATGGGCAATTAGCATTTCTAATACATTTTCTTTTTTTTTAAGATTTTATTTATTTATTTTTAGAGAGGGAAGGGAGGGAGATAGAGAGAGAGAGAGAGAAACATCAATGTGCAGTTGCTGGAGGTCATGACCTGCAACCCAGGCATGTACTCTGACTGGGAATCGAACCTGCAACACTTTGGTTCGCAGCCCACGCTCAATCCACTGAGCTACACCAGCCAGGAACTCTAATACATTTTCTAGTGAGCCTACTGCTGATTGTCTGGAGAACATACTTTGGAAGGCTTCAATCATGGAGAGTCAGAGACAGAAAGCTACCTAGAAAAATGTCCAACATATGTAGGTATTCAGCAAAAGTATACTGGGAACATGAGCAAAAGCTATAAAAGACAGATGTCTAAAGGGGACATTGAAGGGTAACTAGGACCCATCAACTTTACCTTCGCAGCAAAGATGTGCCCTAATAAACCAATCCCAACTTGGTCTTCAAATTGGATGAGCATTCTTTGATGTTAAAAGCCAAGATTGGTGCAATGAATTCTACCAGAAGCTGCACTGATGGTACAATTCAAAGTCTTCCAAGGTCTGTTTTTCTCCACATTCTGCTTTCCCTAAAAGTGTGAGTCTTTAAATATGCAGCTTCTGTAGTGGTGAAGTCCTTGCTGACCTAGAACATTCTGGACCTTCTACACTCTCCACTGTCCTTTGACATCTTTATGTCTGTTTCATTTTCTGAACTGGAGCAAGTGCTTTTTACACAAATTCTCAAATACAGTGACTCTTCTGACCACATGGGAGGAGAATGTTAATCTTTAACAACAACATAAGCAACATTCATCTTCCCTTAGGTAAATTCATTTCAGGTTTTATTAAGAGAATATTTATTAATTTGTGTGTTTGGGTTACTTTTATCTACTTAAGCACAAAAGGTAAAAATAACAATATTAAAAATCCCGAGCAACCAAAATAAATTATGATTAAGACAACATTAAAAAAGTTAAAAAGAGTGAGAAATTTTATATAACTAAAATGAAACTAAAGAAAGGCTAGAATCAAACAACAATATAACAATATCTAAAACATTTACTTATTATTCTAAGGGCTTTGCATGTACTGTGTTATTTAATTCTCACAATAATCCTATAAGGTTAAAATGATCATTGTATCTTCATTGTAAAAATAAGGTAACAAAAGAACTTACTGATTGAGAATTTGTCCAATTGTGTTACTGGTAAAACCAACATTTTAACCCCATATTCTGGCTCAGATCTCATGCCTCTTACCCACAACTCACATTACTATTATTAAATCAGTCTTAAACATCAATTGCAGTACTAAACATTTATTTTAAACTCCATATTTCCAGGACAAATACTCCTTAAGTTTCTTTAAGGCATTGCCTCACATTCTCACCCAAAGGAGAGAAGACACCCTCTCCCAAGGTTTCTTCTTCTTATTGAGCATAACATCTATGAGTGTCCCTTGGCAATTTCCTATACAGGTAGAAAAGGGTGGGTGTTGGCTTAGTCTGGGGAAGACAGTGAACATTTTTTTTGAAGAGGCCATGGTGGGTCCATCATGCTAGCCAAAAAGGTAGGAAGTGCATAATCTCCCTGCTAACCGGTAGAAAATAGCAGGAATCAAGATGTTTCCAGCCTAGAGGCATACTTTTGTATGAAAATTAAAATCTGAAATAAATAAAAGGCAGTACACAAGATTAGGGGTTGAGAAGCTGAGAGTCTCCAGCTGAGCCTCAGGAAGACGGTCAGGATAATTGAGAGAAATCTCCAATCAAAACTCTCCAGTGAGAGGACCATGTAACAGATTTTCAGGGACATTTAGAAAGGCTAGGGGTTTAATGGCTTTTGTCACATGGAGGCATCCCTTTCTCCATCGCATTCTGGCTCACCAGTTGACACTTGGAGGTCCAGACTGCATACTTTATTTTTCAGAGCCACACAAAACTTCCAGCTTTAAATGAGGGCTTGTTAGGCTATGAATTGAAAGAAATATGAAGAACAAGTTGACATTTGGAATAGTAAACACAGAAGCATTCATTTTTCTAGATTGTTTGTGGGCAACATGCATTTTTTAAAAGATTAATTACACTCGAACAAAATTAATAATTGCAGCAATTCTGTGAAGTTGTCATTAAAACTCATCATAGAAACTATTGGACAATAGAAATAAGTCAAATGAAAAAAATCAGACACCCAAGTTATATATGCACTGATTTTAACTTGTTAAGTAATAAGAACTTGAGGTATTAAGCAAAAATTAAAGTTATATCTACCTCATTATAGGTAATTCTACTAATGTGTACCACCTTTTAGATAGCAAAGCACTTGAAGATTTATACTGATGTGTTCATTTCTTTGTATGGAATTCTATAATTTCTTTCAATGTCCACAGCATCGAGTAACCAAAGTTTAGTTCAGCTTTTTCCTTTGTGTTTTTAGTTTAATCTATATGTGTGTTTTTCCCTAGGACTCAAAACTCATCAACGCCTGTCTTCGCTTCTACAAGTGGACCATTTGTAAAACTGAACAAAGCACCTAATGGCAGCTTAATACTAACACCAAGGTGGGTTCTGAGATCTGTTCTTGGCCAACTTGCTCATGGACTGCAAAGAGATAGATTTTGAAGCCAGTCATATTTTAATTCCATCACATACTAATCACATAACCTTGAAAGTTATTTAACATTTTTATTCTCCGAGTAATCTCAAGAAGTCTCTGATTGATGCTTTCTGATAACATTGCCTAATCTCCATATAAATGGTAAAACAAGCAAATGAGATATTGTATATGTAATTGTTTAGCACACTGATATCGATCAGGTAAGTTCTAATTCTATATCCTTTTAATCCTTACCCTCAGATTCATAAACAAGTAGATCCCATTGAAAAAAAATGGTGAGAGCTAGGATAAATCAGCCCAATGTGAATCAGATTAATGAGAGCAGCACAGATTAGCTATCGTTAAAAGAGGAGAAAGTCATGGTCATCTTTTCTCTGCCTCAGCAAATAGACTTCTAGTTGTGCCTACGGATTCTTTTTTGCCCTTTAAAATTAGGTTCACTCTTATAGCTTTTACTCATGTTTTAAAAAGCAACATTGTTTCCACAATCAAAGTCCCTACAGTATGTGCGTTAGTGTTATTTGAAGGAGATATTTACATACATAGATACTTTAATGTTTCATAACTTTTAGAAAGTCCCTTAATCCCATCCTTGATCAGCCATGTTATACTGAATTAGTGAAAATCAGACATATATGCATTTATTTAGTTAGGTAGTTAATTTATTTATGTATATATTTCTTACATTGTTTCCCCGTGAAAACTGGTGTTTTTTAAAACACCCTTGCGATGTCGGCTATGATAAAAAAAATAAGGAAAGGAAGAGAATATCAAAGAGATTATTCTTCCAATTATGAAAACCTACTGAACCGTATCCTCATTTTTCCCCTATTGTGAGTCATATGCAAGGCTCAGACTATTCGCCACCACTGAGAAAGGCCACTCAGCGAGCTCCCAGGAATCTGACTCAATGTAACGGGAAGTATATGATTCATGAAGCTGCAGTACTATGTTTCTATTTTTTCTTATCCTTCAGACCACTCCAGTAGCAGGAAGCTAGATACAGGATTCAAAGTGCTTATCAAACACTTTGCTGAATTCCTATCATGTGACAGACGCTGTGGTAGGAATGGTACTGAAGTTACTCCTGGTCCACAGAAAAGCTCTATGGCACAGGTGGTATTGCTCTACTAGGAAGATGAGGAAACAGAAGTCTGGTGTCGGTGACAGACTCGAGAAAGTTCATGAAGCCTGCAGGAACCACACAGATTCTAACCCAAGGCACTCTGACTCCAAAGCCCTCTACTTTTTCACTGCACTGTGCTGTCTTCCCAGTTCCTAAAGCAATAGCTCACTTGAAATAGCAGTGCTGGAAAGGAGAGAGAAAAAAAGTGAAGGCTTTTCAACAACAAAAAGGCTATGTTGTTGAGCATATACTAGGAGAGAAATGAGTTCATTTTGTCAATGTAACAGATATAAATCCACCTATTTATATCACAGCATCGCTCCCACGGGGCTGGGAGAAAAACACAGGATCGTGGCATTGTCTTTCTTCCTGTCGGGAGAACCAGACAGGGCTGACTCCACTGCCGAAGGTCAGGACAGCAACTCCGCTTCTCTGCAGTCTCTCTAAATGCACCTGCACAAACAGTGGATTCACTGCTCATTCTGCCTGCAGTTAAGCAGTTTTCTCCTCTGTACCTAGACACCCCTGTGTGTGATTACCATATGTACGAAGCTTTTGACTAACCAACATACGTGGAGATTGAATTGCAAGGTTTAGCTTACATTTCTGGTTACCTCTTAAGTTAACCAAAAAGTTTTCTGTGTTTACTAAAAGTAAAAATTCATCACTTTTATACATACCACAAAGTATTAAGCATTTTCTAATATCTAAAAGTGATGAACCATTTTGAATATGGATTTGCAGTGATGAGTACTATAGATATAGAAAGAGTTGGGATAAAACTTCACATATCCCAGAAATTACTTCCTTCTCAACTATGTGTAGGTAATAGAAGAGGAGTTAATTGAGGCTTCTTCCTTGCAGAATTCTGAATACGTACTCGTATATTTAAACCTAGGTAGATATGCATATGTACACATTGCTTATTAATAAAATGTAAGCATATTTCTTTGTATTTCCATTAGAATCATCTTCTGTTCTAAAGGATAGGTAAATCAGACCATATAACACCTGTGGTTTGAAATTCATTTTATCACGTGTTTTCCGGAAAACTGAATGGCTCTGGTCATACCTATGATTTCATATGGATCTGGAGTCTTATTTTATGCTTCGGAGGGGTTTTCCCTAAAATTTTAAGCATCTAAACAATGTGCACACTAGATACAGTTAAATATATAAATAGAAATAATTAAAATTATATGCGTGTTCATGTGATCAATGTGTGTGCAGTAGCTGCATCAGGGAATAGCAGGCAAGCATTTTAATTCCTTGTATTAGACTGATCTCTAGTGGTTGGTAAGTATAACACATTTTCAAACAATTTTTTTTGTTTAAATTTTTTAAAAATACAATTACTGACTTTGTATAGTTGATATCCAACTATTAAACAGATGGCAAGTTTTTAAAGTATTTATGACTAAACTTCATTTTATATATGCCTATTTACATGTTTACCTTTGAAAACAGGACCCGTGATTAATTTATCCCTGAATTCACTGAATGGTGTTTACAGTCTGGCACACAGTGAGGCACTGACTGGTTGTCTGATAGGAATATTGAGGCATATTCTGTTATTGAATGATGAACTCCAATGTGGGCTCAAACAAATGAACAACAGCTGGTAGGAGATCATTCTGCGTGGCGTGGGTGCAGCTCCCACTCGGAGATGCACAGGACCCACGCCCACAGATAGGTTCTCCCATGGGAAATCAGGCCTGCAATGTGCCTAGGCCGCTTTGAGACTTGCTTTTGGTAAAACTCCCTCACCCTGAATTGAGACAGCAAGTGCTTACTGTAACTTCCTAAAATCCACGCTAAACCTTCCAAGGAAGGGTGTAACAGGTTCAACTACTTTTCCCTTTTCATTTGCCAATATCCTTCTTCTGTGATGTGATTAGCTCCTTTGTTTTCTGAAAAAGGTAACCACCTGTGCGTAGTAAATAAGGACCTTCGTGTAATGTGCCCAGAAAAGAAATAAAGGCCCGTCAAGGCGCAGGCTGCTGCTTTTGCTCCCCTGGAGAGAAAAGCTATGCTCGCCCTTTTCCTCCACAGGACTCATTAGTCCGTGTGAATGTCTCGTGTCTCATGCACAATGTGGCAGACCCCACAAGCCTGAGTCCGCATCAACAGCTATCATTTATTGAGTGTCCATTGTATGTAAGGCACAATAATAATTTCACAGAAAAAAATTTTAGTTCTCAGAAAATTACAATAAAGTCCCCATATTATGAATGACAGAGGGAGTCTGAGGGACAATGAGCAACTTACCCAAATCATGAAACGTAAGAGGTAAATGATACAAACTCAGTTCTACTTGACTTTAAACTGAGGATTTTCTGCTTTGTATTTCAACCTTCCTACATTTTTATATGATACTTAAAAGTTCATATAACCAAAAAAGGTAAGATACCCTACATTATGTGTTGCTGTAAACTGTTAGGTGCATAATTTCTAAAATATAATTGTTCTTCTATTACAGTAAACAGTGTTTACAGGATTCACTAATTCTGTTACAATGTAACCATAAACGTAAGTAAATATTTTGTCATGTTTTTGTTCAAGCTTTCTGTTAAAAATTCTGAATAGAGCTGGTCTGTCCCCTGAGGCTATTTTGTAGCAATCCACTCAATTGTTGTGATCAGAGAAAATTCACCAAAAATAAAACAGCTCTTTCTTCAATTATTTTAATAGCATGTGGGGGGAAAATGGTGGCTCCAGAAGTCAGCCCAAGGATTGTTGGAGGAAATGACGCCGAAGAAGGAGCCTGGCCCTGGCTCACTGCTCTGTATTACAACAGGCAGCTGCTCTGCGGTGCTTCTCTCGTCAGCAGCGACTGGCTGGTGTCCGCGGCTCACTGCGTGTACGGGTGAGTGTGGCACCACAGAGTCCCTGCTGAAATGAGATGACCACAGCACGCACTGTGCATTTCCAGGTAGCCTCACAAATAAATCCACTTCATCAGGGGAATATTCCCGCTCTTAGGACATTATAAGCTTTCCCATCAGTTTCCCATTAAAATCATATCTGAAATAGAGAAACTTCAATTAAAAATCATTCCTTGTTAGATATTTGCATGAGGTATTATGTATCCTTCATACCTAATACCTAATAACTTTAAAGGTGTAAAATTAGTATTTAATGTATAAATTGTACTGGCTATCATTCTATTAGGTCAATATGTGTTGTCAGAAAATTATTAGTATCAAAAAGCTCTCAAGTTACAAATAAACTGTGCTCCAAATATTTGTGCTTAAAGACCTAATTATGAATTAGGATAAAAATGTTTACTTAGTTCTCGAGTCAGATCTATTTTGATGCTACCCATAACTAAAACTTAGAACTAGTGTCAACTATATCTAATTCTTTTTTTATAACATGGCAAAATACACTTTGAATTCTAGAAATTATTCTCCCTCTAGAAGCTGCCATTTCTAAAGCAATGCCACAGGAGAAAACAGTGTGTATAGAGGGAACAGAGAGAAAAAGAGGAGAAAATAAATATTCCTGGGCCCAACACCTTGTTAATTCTCTCCTTCTTGTATGAGAGAAGGAACCTCTTTAGGTAATCCCATTGTAAGACTTCTGAATTAGGTCAGATAAAATGCTGGCTTCCTCATCGAAAATTCACAAGCCCTGCCCTAGGGCAATTTCCTGCCCCTAACTAAGCAGAAGACTTCAGAAAATGGCTTTTCCTTTGAGGTTGCAATGAGCGTCTTATGAAAGGCATCCAGAATCTCTGAGGAAAGAATCATGTGTGCACAGAATTGAAGATGCAGCTGTAGTTAATCAGATTAAAAGACTGAAATCTCTACCAACACAGACATCGGAAGTTCTTTTATCGATGGAAACAAGTTATCACCAGGAGGTTTTGAAAGTTGGAAGGTAGGGAGTGCCCGTGAGGATGAGTATTGAAGGACTGACTCTATGCCTCAATACTCATTGTATAGAGTGAAGGTAAATGTGAATTAATAATCCCAGGAACTTGGAAATGAGGACATTCCACCAGATCACAGGTTGGCCAAATTACCTGAGCCTTCAGAGGAACTGTCCGTGGTGCTGACCACCTACATCTAAAGCTCTCTGATTCTATGCTCTGAGCCTTATAACTCAGTGACTAAACTAGCCTCTCCCACATCTGAAGTGTACCTTCTTGACTTTTGCAGCCTCCTGATAAATTTACAATTTAATCTGTTTTCAACCAGAGCATAACAAGCACACATAGCAGTCAGTTTTCCCATCACCTGCTAAACACGACTTTAACTTTTACCTATGTATACGCTATGCCTTGGGCATGTCGCAGATGGGTAATTTACACCCTAATGGTATTACAGGTAAGAGGTATCTTTAGCTGAACATTTAGTGTGTTCTGTTGCACAAAAGTAAGTCTTAATAAGTTAGCAATCTCCTGTAATTAACCTGGAATTTGGTAAATTTGTTTGATGTTCTTGTGGAACATATGCTTTCTAAATGTTAACCAAGCTTGCAGCAATGTTAGTGACATCTTTCAATTATCTGCCTTACAGATGTATTTACTATGGGTCGATGATACCAATATTATATCTGTTTCAAACCACAAATATACAAAAAGTAGTTTTATCTAATATAAATTTGTGTTCAGTCATATAGGACATAAAATGTCTTTTCATACAATTTTAGTCTGAACACAAGCAAACAAAGGTATGCTGTAATAGAATCGAGATGAATTCCAATTTAGTCTCACCACGCTTGCATTGTCCCCCTCCTCAGCCACTCAGTGGCATTATTTCTTCTTTCTCCACTTGCGAAGAGTTTCAGTTTCTTGTGTTTCACTTCATAGTTCTAACCAAGCAAGAAATTTTCTGATATTATTTTAGATACTTGATCAAAAAATATTTCACCAGTATGCCAATTCTGCCTACTTATATTTTTAAAATCCTAACTGTGAAGTGAAATGCTTAATTTCCTGATATTTAAAAGGAAGAAACCAAATCAAGCAACTTCCTGAAATCACACTACACAAATGACTTGTCCTCGGTGTAAATCTGTTCCAGGTCTTTTAACCTACAACTCCCCTCTTTCTACATTCTTACTGTCCACACTCCCATTCAGCCTCAGTGCTGCTAGATGACCCTAAATATCCCTGTGCCTGTTGTTTCTCTATCACTGACTTGTCTTCTTTTCCAACTTTAAAAGAGAGATTTGGAAACTATGGGCCAGTTTTACTGTGGTTTAAAGGAAATGTTGACTTTGAACCAGAGGACAGGGTTTTGCTCCTACCTATCCTACTGGTCTCATATGACTTGGTATCTCTGCATTTCAGTATCCTCATCTGTAGGGTGTTTAAAGGATATCTGCCTTCTAAGGCAATTGTCAGGGAAAATTAACATGCTGGATGACTTTCCATGCTGTGAATATGAATGTGCAACAAAAAAATTTATTGTGCTGCTGTTCCTTCATCAAAAGGTCTATGAAGAAAGAGTCTAAGTCTTGCCAAGGGACATTAAGCATATTTATTTTACAAATATCTTGTATGGATATAATTTCAAAACATGCACAAAATTGCAAATAATAGTACAAAGAACTCTTTTAGAACTTCACCCAGATTCTCTAATTGTTTAAATTTTATGCTGTAAAATCTTTCTTACTCTTTCTCTCCAATCTGGGGAATGTTTTTCCAACCATTTGATAGTAGCTTAGACATTGTGCCCCTTTACCATTGTATATGGTAATTGTATGTTAATGTAACATTACAGTAACATTGTATGTTAATGTAATTTTACTAAGAACAAGGACATTTTCTTTACTTTTTAAAAAATATTTTATTTATTTTTAGAGAGAGGGAAAGATGGGGAGAAAGAGAGGGGAGAAACATCAGTGTGTGGTTGCCTCTCATGCGCCCCCCCCCCTCCCGCCATGGAGACCTGGCCCACAACCCAGGCATGTGGCCTGACTGGGAACTGAACTCGTGACCCTTTGGTTCACAACCCACACTCAGTCCACTGAGTTACATCAGCCAGAGCAGAACAAGGACATTGTCTTACATAATCACAGAAAATCATGGCAATTTAACATTAACCAGAAAACAATGATCTAATCTACAGTCTGTATTCATTTTTGTCAATTTTACCAAATATGCCCTTTACAATATTTTTGGTTTGTTCATATTTTTGCCACCCAAGAACCAATCCAGGATAATGCACATTTAGTTTCTTTGCCTCTTAGGTATTTTAAAATCTGAAATAGCATTTCTTTCTGTCTTTTTTAGCCTTTCTGGCTTTCTTGTCTTATATATATATATTAATATGAGCAAGAATTTTGTAGAAAGTCCTTATATTTGGGAAAACCCTTTTTGCTGCTCCCTTATCAATCATAACATATCACCAATCTTTGAAAACTCTTTATTTTCTGGCAAAATAAGATGTTCCATGTCCATCTGTGCTTTTCTTGTCCTACACCTCAACTCAAGCTTTCTAAATGAAACCCCAATTCCTTTCAGCTGCTTGTAGTTCCTTCTGTATTTTAAAAAATATATATTGTGTGCTCATTGGTACTGCTTTCATGTCCTGCTCATAGACTTTCTTAATGGGCACAACTGTATACCTGTAAATATGAACTCAAAGATAGCTCCAACTAAAATAAAATACCACTGGATGTAGTATTTTATCCTTCCATATTGCAACTGTTTTCTTCAATAATAGGACACCTTGCTTCTACCATGCACAAAATGTTTATGGATTTTCTCAAGCAGTTCAAGTAGAACACAAAAAGCAGTTTGAGAATTGCTAACCCTACCACTGTGTTAAGCAAACCTATGAACCAACCAGTTTAATATTTGTTTTCCATTTTTTTCAACTGACACAAAGCAAATGCATCACCTCAAATGTGCAATTTCATGAGTTTTGACATAAAACATTTTCATCATCTGGGAAGCACTCTTATACTTCTTCCCAGTCAATCTCCCTTTCTGCTTGCAGAAGCAACTACTCCTCAGTTTTTTGTGGGGGCAGTTATATATAGATTTACAGTCTGGATCACATCTATTGACTAGATGTGTACCAATGATTAAATGATCCATGGAAAGTCCTTTTGCCAATTTTCCAGTCTCTTTTATTACATTTTAATTTTTAATATAATTTTGTTTTTTGTGCAATCTCTTGTGCTGATATTGCTTAGCATACAACTTCCTTCTCTTTACCTAGATGCAATGTGTGATTAAACTGGTCACATTCAATCTTTCTGGCTTCTGGGTTGCATTCTGTTTTCATATATTCATTCAGTCAAGTGATATTTATTGAGCATTTATTCTGTACCAAACAAGATTCTAAGTTTTGGGGATAATAGTCCTCTACAGACCCACAAAGTCCTTATCCCTTTATTAAAGATTTTATTTATTTACTCTTAGAGAGGGGAAGGGAGAAAGAAAGAGGGAGAAACATCAATGTGTGGTTGCCTCTGGAGAGCCTCCTACTGGGGTCCTGGCCTGTAACTCTGACATGTGCCCTTGACTTGGAATTGAACCAGTGAACCTTTGGTTCACAAGCAAGGGCTCAATCCACTGAGCCACACCAGCCAGGCCAAAAAAATAATGCTTCTGTAAGGGTAGGGCAGAAAAACAAGAAATGTCAAGAAGCCTTGCTGTTGCTATTGACCAGAAAGTGATTGGCAGACAACCTTGAACAAGATTAGAGATGTAGGCAGCTAGGTCCTAGGCCCTGGTGAGGACTCAGTAGGCCATAGTAAATGGGATGTGAGACCATTTGGAAGGCTAGAGAGTGGTGTTATCTAATCAGGCTTTTGTGTGGAGATGAGACTGCTGGGAGGAGCAAGCATAAAATCAGGGAGAAAGTTAGAATGACCAATGGTGACCCTGGGGTTGTGGTCAAGGAAGCCAGGCAAATGGCTGGATCTCATTAGTAAGTTTAGATAGTTAGAGTTACCTGAATTTACTAGTGATCACTCCTTTTAAAGAATTGTATGTTTTTTACTCAACATTTAATATATATATTTATTCAATATATATAAGAAAACTAATCTAATAATTACAATACCATCTCACTTACTTTGCATTCAGTATTTATACATAGATTTTATATTTTTCATTATAATTAAATTTTTATATAACTAATATATTGATACTTATAAATAATATCAAGTATATTAGCGGTATAACATTAAAATAATAAATAATAAAATTTGTTCAAAAGGAATATGAGTACATTATGTGGATTTTATTTTGAAGTTAATAATAGGGAACATGTAACTATCAAAAATAAGATTATCTCCTTAAAGCTTTCTACATATTTTATCTTCAGAGATAATCATATTCAGAGAAACATAAGTAGATTGTTTACTATACATTTAAATTAATGATAAAATAATGCAGTTCAGAAACAGCATCTAATCTCCCAAATCTTATCTGCTAACTATAAATATATTATAAATGATATGAGATAACTTGTAGCTAACACAGTGTTTAGTAATCCCTATTTCCTCTCATTATTTTAAGGTTTTGAGTAGAAAACCAATGCATGAACTATAAACTATGAAGATTAAACATACATGCTTTAAGCTACTGGTCTAATTAAATACAATCTACAGCAACATTAATCTGATACATTCTCAGTGATTTCCAAAACTACTATTGTGATACATACAAAATAGTCTACTTTGCATGTTTGTATTTCTCTTGCATGTATAAGTAGCACTCTGGGAAGGAAATATCCCTCCAACATGTATCATTTGCATTTCACTTTCAAGTCATTCCACAAATCTTTCTGTGTCCATGTAATTAACTTACCCCCCCCAACAAGTCCAATGCCACGTTAAACTAGGCATTTGCAACTATTAAGAATTAAATCACTCCATGATCATTGAAGTTATTGAATTTTGACTTCATTGTGAATATGACTTAATTGGCTTAATTCCAGATGTTGACTTGTAAATTTTTGGAGTGAAAATATTGCAAGCCAGTAGTACACTTAAAAGTCCTTGCACATGTAAAAATTATAATATGCTATTTAATTCAGTCTGCCCTATAACACAAATGTTATTCTTTACCAACACTTTATTGATGGCCAACATTGTATATGGAAAATTATTCAAGTCCATTGTAGATGGAAATTACTCAAGTTTATGTTAGATTATAGGCATCATAATAGGTTTTCCTGCTTACCTCAAGTCTGTGTGAATTCAGTGGCACCCCGAATGGGAGCATGCTCCTGAACCTCCCTCCATTACTGCAGTAGCTGCTGTGTGTGTCTGAAGAAATCCTGGGCCAAGATGCCATTTCCACAGTGCAATGTGCTCTGAAACTGTGGTTCTCAGACTGGTCATACATGAGCATAATCTTGGAGATGTGATTTTACTATTAGTTTAAAGTTAAAATCCCAGTCTCATTAAATCAAAGCTAGAGAAGAGGGAGAGAGTGGGTATCAGTGTTCTTCTCTGTGACTATAATGTGAAACCACAGTTGAGAGCCACAGTCTAGAACTGGAGAGCAAGAGAATATTTAAAAGAAGTGGCAGAGAGAGATCAGCACTAATTAAGGCTTTCTCTGTGATCTGATAAAAAAAAATTAAAGGAATAATTTTAAAGAAGATTCTTTAGAGAAAATCAAGAACATTTTAGGATGGGAACAGATAATTCAGAAATACCTTTAATGAAGATCTCTAGAAAGTAACTGTGGTAAATGGAGAGTTTCTCATACCTCTTTATTATCATCTTCAGGAGAAATTTACAGCCATCTAAATGGAAAGCAATCCTAGGCCTGCACATGACATCGAATCTGACTTCTCCTCAAGTAGTAACCCGCTTGGTAGACCAAATTGTCATACACCCACAGTACAATAAACGGACAAAGAACAATGACATTGCCATGATGCACCTTGAATTTAAAGTGAATTACACAGGTAAAACAAGTCACTTTTAGTCATCTGATCTGCCCAACTGAATTCAAACCTAGATTTGAAATATTATCGGCACCCATTCATTAACAGTACTTAAAAGTTGAATAATTTGTTGTAAAAATTATTATAACTTAAAGGAATTGGAGAATGAAAGAGAAACATATTCAATTACCCTCCAGTGGTATTAAATCCAACTTTCTAGAAAGTTGACCAGTAGAATAAAACCCTCAGAGTCCTGTGTAAGCTCAGAGGAGCAGCCCAGGAAAAAATAGACTGTGTTACAAGGTGGGCCTCCCCTGTCTCTCATGTAAAAGAAAGGTGGGTTTACCTGCTCAAAGACCAGAGAACGACAAAATGAGAGAAGATCCTATGCAACAAGAAAAAGTGAGCAAGCATTGTTACCCGCAGAATAAAATTCTTAAGCATATTCAATGATATCAATAAAGGGGCAGATGGAGGACTACCGCTGAATACCTGGATCATACGAGTATTCAAGAAGTCACCTGAAGAGTAAACTTTATCCAGAAGGGCTCCCAATTCTAACTTTCACTCTGAAGACCTGTCCAATCCCAGTTAGGGGAAGTGCCGCCATTTTCTGGCTTCTATGGAATTTGGCCTCCGCATCCGCTGCAGCACTTACCAAACACAGATGATTACTGTGGTCGGTTTTATAGCACCGTACCTCAGTCATTGTTGGAGTCTGCCCTGGGATGTACATGGAGTGGGAGCTTTAATAAATGTCAGGTGGCTTGTAAATTGTTGCAAAGGGCTTTGAAAGTTAACGACCGGTGCTAAAGCTTTCTTAAGTGCCCAGTAAAACAATCACCTAAAAACTTTTTTAATGTGAGATACGTGGGGAAAATATTTTTTAAAACTTTTACCCAAATTTCTCTTAAGTGATCCTAAAAAACAGCCTCACCAAGACTTCCACAGAATTGGCACTACTTTCTATTGAGTACTGTAATTATTTAAAATTGACATAAATGGTTAATTCCAGAATTATGATGTTGTTGACATTATGAAAGAGTAATTAGGGGACAATGTGAGGATTCTAAAAGGCCACCAGTGGTACCTAATCGATTGTCAAAAAGTACTGCTCTGAAATGCTTCTTTCCCCCAAGATTGATGTCTAAATAATATCCAGGCCATATAAAACAAAAGTACAACTTGTTTTAGATGAAATGTTTAAAATGATTGATTTTTAGAACTTGGAAGTGCATGTGCATCTATTCTAGCTTTTGTTCTGTTTTGTTTTCAGATTATATACAACCTATTTGCTTACCAGAAGAAAGTCAAGTTTTCCCTCCAGGAAGAATTTGTTCTATTGCTGGCTGGGGAAGGGTTGCTTATGAAGGTAAATTATCAGCCCCATAAAAAGAAAATATTTACTAGAAAAAAGTATTTTATTGCACTATCCTGTGACTATTTTCAACAGTTTTTGCAATTCTTATGCTAAAACAATTTTATATAATATCTCTTAAAAACACTTATATTCCTATATTTCATATTTGTACAGTTAAGAACTTATTTTCCAATTTTTATAGACCATATTATAAAACTATAATCCTTATTGGAGGGGATATCAGGCATCCCCCAAACTCAAAATCTAATATTTATATTATAAATACTGATAAAGAGAAAGATATATCTATTAAAATGAATATAACCAAAGGTTTCCAAAATTTGCCTTTGTAAATCTCATGGATAAAGTCTCATCAAAAGCCAAAGTATTAGCTATCACATTTCCCAAATCCATAAAACTGTCTTTATCATCTGAAGGTGTCACAGTCACATTCTATAAAGTGAGAAAGAATCCCCTTCTCTCTTCAAATGCTGATTCTGCCTACTGACAGCAAGACTCAGATATGGTGCAAGTCTTGTATTGAATACTATGGATGGATATACCACTGACTCACCAGTATTATTTAATAGCATGTTTTCCAAACACAGAAAAGAAACATGCTAATAAGAAGCAAACATGATTTTTATGAAAACAATCCAGTAACATGCCCTCTAAATGTAACAACTGCAAGTCTCATTGGTGTCCAAATTCCTCATAGGAGTTACTCCACCCAGGACAGAGTTTTGACTACTTGCTAACAGTTAAGCAAAAAGGAAAGGCACTGGAGGCTGGTGGGAGAACCTGGCCCCTGGAGTCACAGCAGACCACAGATCATAGCACGATATTTACAAACCCTAACTGTATCTAAGATTTATTTAAATCTTGTGGGGAGGGGAAGGTCCCAGAAGCAGAGCACTCACAGCCAAACTATCCTTACTTCTCGTAAAAGAAAGCATCAAGTCTCATCAAATCCCTGCCTGATGATTTTGACAAAGTTCTCCACTGCAATTTCATTAGGTTGCTGAAAATGCCTTATGTCCACTGTCCATAAAATGTATTGAAGTCAAAGACTGCATATTCTTTGATTTATGCCACTTGAAAAATGTCATGATTTATTAAATTTGAAATCAGAAGAGTCAAAATGATTCCTAGATAGATATTGTCCCTATCAGACTTCAAACCAGAAGACATTTATGACCACAATGTAGACTCTTCCAAACAAATTATCCAATAATGAATAAGTTTAAGACTCTTTATTCCATAGGAAATGGGTATTTTTTTCCCAGAGCTGATACTTACTGGTACTAAAGATATGCATTTAACCGGATTAAGGAAGGTCTCTAGGAGTGACTGGGAGCCAAGAGAACATGTGTATCTGAGGTCAATTTCATTTAGAAACAAGCAGTCAGATCAGGTTTAAATAGTTGCTGGATGATGGCAATCAGAATGAATTTTAAAAATTCTGCCTTAGGGTTTCTAGCTACTTCATTGCATAAAATCTCAGTACCCCCTTTTTGAGTATTTTACACTGAATAATTGTTCTAGAAAAACCATGAACATACAGTTTACCAAAAAAGATAAAGTGATATTAGTTGAATAAATTAAGACAATTAGTAAACTTGAAAAACATGTACTAACTTTGGGTGTGGATGTGAATATGCTCAATTATTCCCATGGCAGTTCATACTGACAAATAAATGTTAAACATAAAAATACTGTTCAAATTTTTCCTTCACCAAAAAGTTTTTTCACACACCCAACCAATTTTTATCCCTTGGCAAGCAGCAAAATCAGCTTTGATTTTTATTATAAAACAGAAGTCTTCCAGCCCATCCTCAATCCTTATAGAATGGATGACAGTGAGATGCTGAATTTCTTCTTCATCTTAATCTCCACAACTTCTATTCTTAACATAAAGTTCATTGTTAAACTTGAAAAGTCATCCAGTGGTGTGCTGCTGGAGTCACGGGCACTGGCTGGAAATAGCCATTTGTACACATCTCCCAACTCCATGTTTATTGTCAGGCTGGTACCTTGAAATTGGACATGGTTGGAGTGATTATACCAGGCAAGCCAGCAGGCAATACACATTGGGACTTTTTTTCTTGACCACCAGTTATTAAACATTTACCAACACACCACTGGGTTATACAAATGTTGTTTTGCACCTAAAATGCACACACACATATTTATCTTCTTTTTTAGCAGGAAATGAGGTCAATACATTTTTCTTTGAACACTGCCTGTCAGATGTACTAACATACCCTCAACTTGCTGCCTCTCTTGAAGAGCCAAATAGAATTGCTAATTATTAGAAAGTGCTTATCATGGACCTTTTCTGGGCCACTAGACACCTGCTTGTTTCACTTTCCTCCTGGGATTAGTATTTCAGTAAATACAGGTTCGTGCTTCCAATAGATGAGTCATTTTGTAAAAAGCATGGAAGTACACTCTGCTACAAAATGCCTCCTTTCTCCTCACCTGAACGTGGATGACAAGCTGAATGCCCTTAAATGAGGGCACAGTTCATCTGAGCTTTATCTTCTGTTCAGTGTGCACCTGCTCAGTCACACAGCATCGCGAGAAGCTGAATGCCACCATAAGGGCACACCTCTTCAGGTGCCAAATAGAAATCACTTCTGGATTTCTGAGCCATTGCTAATTTCCATGAATGAAACTCTTTGTGTTGGTGGGCTTTCCCACCCCACCCCTCCATGAGCAACACTGTAACTGTTTAAAATTACTAAACATGCCTAAAGACTGTCTAGTCCAACCCACTATTCTAGCTAGCCCTTGAGAACCAAAGAAGCGCTTTACATTCATTTGGTAAAGCCCACAGATGAGCTTTATTATGTGCTTTAAAGTACAAGGTTTAGCATTTAGGTCCATTATATATACACACAGTGCTAGATAATGAGAGTGAACTGTTAAAATAAATAAGACTGATGGTGGCTCATTCACTGATGCATGTTGATCACTGCTGACTGGATGCTTGTATTATCCATGTTGAACAGGTCCTACTGCAGACGTATTGCAAGATGCTGATGTTCCTCTTCTATCAAATGAGAAATGCCAACAACAGATGCCGGAATACAACATCACAGAAAATATGGTGTGTGCAGGCTATGAGGAAGGAGGAATAGATTCTTGTAAGGTAATTATATAAAACTGCTCATCCCACATTTTCAGAAAGCATTGCTATATAATGATTTTATTGTTTAACAATGATTCTGAAATAATGAAAACATCAGTCTTTTATTTTTTTCTTTTATAAAACTATAATATTTGGCTTTTATTTGTGCACTATTTACGTAGTATTCCTAGGTGGCCCCTAACATTAGAAACAAAACTAACTTTTACCAGCAAGGGTTATGCATCAGATGTCTTTAGGAACTAGGCATCAAATGGGAATGTGGAAGACAGCCAGGCACCATATGCAGTAGTGGGCCTGGGGATGAGCTGGAGTGCACACCTTGGCTAATAGCATTTATTTTCAAATTTCAATTCTTGAAAACCATATGCACACTTAAAAAAAAAAACAAGTCTCAGGGCCAGTTTGGCCTAGAAGCCTCTAATAATCAATCCTGATTTAGAGCATGGTCCAGATGTCTAGTTACCTGAAATAATTTCTGGAGGAAAACCACAGTGGATAAACTGGTCAGAGCCAGTTTACAGCTAACTTCTATTGGCAAGAAGAGAAACAGAATTTACTCAGCCTGGCATAAACGTGGCTCTGGAGCTCCTCTATTGGAAGTTTCATGTTATCTTTTACATTTCCTGTTAGGGATGGGATAATGTGAACTCAGTGCATGAAAATGCTGAAATATATTTGCAGTGTCAACGGCCATGGATTTGTGTGACCTTCAGAGAAAAATCTTACCCACAAACTAGCCTTGAAGAAGACAAAACATCTTATTACCTAGAAGTGACATAGCCATCTCTTAGCTGCATGAAATTCACATACACTCAACAAATAAAAAGCAAATTCTGCTGGATTTCAGAATTATAATTAATTTTCAGGGGCAGCATGGGGTAATCAGGAAGAGCATGGATTTCATGCTCAAACTATTCTTATTTGCCCCTTATTGGAAAGACTTTGGGCGAGTCTTACAGGTTTCATGAAGAGGTTAGAATTAGATCACACAATGTAGGACACTCAGTAAGCACTCAGAAATATTAACTTTTCTACTATGTGAGTTTGCAAGTAAATTTTCTGGCATGTTTTCTGTATTTGAAAATTAATAAAACATTAGCCCTGGCTGGAGTAGCTCAGTGGATTGAGCGCGGACTGTGAACCAAAGCATCACAGGTTCGATTCCCAATCAGGGCACATGCCTGGGTTGCAGACCATAGCCCCCAGCAACGGCACATTGATGTTTCTCTCTCTCTCTCTTTCTCGCTCCCTTCCTTCTCTAAAAAATAAATAAATAAAATCTTTTAAAAAAGACATACCATTTAAAAATGAGATATCATCACCTATTAAAAAAAGAAAATTAATAAAACATTGATACACTAACAGCAACTGGATTAAATTAAACCTGATAGCAATACTGACAAAGAAATAACTTACAAATGTGGAAGTAGCCATTTATACTGTGAGTAGATGGTTTCACTTATTAAAGTGTGTGAACAATTTGTTAGATGTGTATGTATATGTATATAAACACATAATGTCATAATAATTTGACTTGATATAAGACTTTTTAACAGACATTTGAGCAGATGAATCTGTGTATGTATCCTCCAGTTAAATCAATGTCTCAAGTCATGTAAACTAAACTTTCAGCTTAGTTCTACATTTATTCAACTTGGATGAACACTTGGAAATTCAAGACAAATAGGATAGTTTTCTTCATGTTAAAATTTATTCCTGGATCTTATGCATTCCTTTTAAAATGAAACATATGCTAAAGGTAAGATATATTGCCACTTAGAGAGAAATTTATAGAATTATTGTCCAGGAGGGAAATCAGCTGTGCAACTTCAATTACAGTTAATGGGGGCTGTGTGGCAGACACCGCAGGCACGAGGTAGAAAATATGACTGTGGATGCTATTAATGTAGTGTTACATTAAACCAGTAACACATGCCAGATCTCTGAAATCTTATATTTGGTGGTGATTTCTAAAGTCTAGGCATGGTATTCATTAGTAAGAAAACTCCCACACAAGGTAGTGCCTTGTATCATGTAATGTTACCATACTATTGACTGAGTACTCAATAGTCTAAAGAATCACATGATTTTCTTTGTTCAACTTGAATATTGTTATGCAAGAGGACTGATTAAATAGGAATACATTATTTAACATTATAAATGCTATTGTTTTTTTTAAAATGTTTTTTTAACTTTATTTATTTATTTTTAGAGAGGGAAGGGAGTGGGAGAGAGAGAGAAACATCAATGTGCAGTTGCTGGGGGGTCATGGCCTGCAACCCAGGCATGTACCCTGACTGGGAATTGAACCTGTAACACTTTGGTTCGCAGCCCATGCTCAATCCACTGAGCTACGCCAGCCAAGGCTATAAATGCTATTATTGACATATCACTTGACTAAGTTCTTTGAAGCATCTTTTTCCTCCTATAGTGTCAAAGATTTTGGACTTATTAGTCATTCACTCATTCTTGAATATCTTCTGGCTTGCCTAAGTCTTGCCTTTTTGAGGCAGTTGTCTGAATTTTAAGGCACCATGAGTGGCTCTAGAATGTCCTCTCTACCTAAAGCCTAGAGTGTGGCACAAACAGCGAACCTGTTTGGCCAACCATTCTGAGCCTTGTTCTGTAGCAGTGGTTTTCTAAATCCGGCAGATCGGCATTACTTGAGGAGGTGTCATAGGTTCAGATTCTCAGGCCCTGCCACAGACCTGATGAATCAGAAACTCCAAAGGTGGGTCTTAGCAATGTGTTTTTCACGTGTCAACAGAGGATGCTGATGTACATTAAAGTCTGAGAACAACTAGCCTAAATAAACATGGTCGTCAACCTTTACACTCATATAGTCAAAGGAGGTAGTGATTTTTTTCTTTACAAATATAGCATCTCAGTGGAAACATCAACTTTAGTCATTTATGTTCTGAACAGCCACTCATATTTTTTAAATACAACATCTCTGAGATAGCGGGAGAATGGACTATCTTCATTAAACGCATCAGAAAATTAAGAACAGGAGAGGATATATAACTGAATTGAAATGGTGTAATTAGAAGATGGGAAGTGACAGAATTCAGTCTAGGTCTCTCAACCGCACAGACCACCCAGCTCTTGGGCACCGAGCCTGCTCGCAGATCTCGTGAGTAGTTGCAGCTGACCCAGTATGAACCGAGTAATTTAAAATCCCTGTTTCGGTCATCAGTATCTGGTTTCTGCTGTCTGTTTACAAAATTAATTTTTTAAGAAAACCACATGACCTTTTTAAGAAATATATCAAAGCACTTGAGGCTTATTTTTAATAATTTCTAAGTTGCATATAACTTTGAGTCTATATTTATTCTTACCTTGGATTGACAGTGTTCCATAAATATTTCTGAACCCGTATGATGGACTAAGAGTTTAGGATGAAGAAATAAAAAGTCCAGTCCCTGCTTTCAAACAGCTCAAATACATTTGTTACACACAGAATAAAGGCAACCTATGTTTGCCAACGCAGTTTACACTCCTCTGCACCCAAGAGAGAAAAGACACCTTTATAGACCAAAAACTTTCCCCTAAATATAAGACCCTATGATCGTAAAGAATCAGGTAAAATGTCTCTCAGGATATTTCTAACATCAAGCCTGGGCTGAAATAATCTATCATACTGGTGATTTAAAGGAAAAGATACAAGGCTTTAACTTCTTTCATAAATAAAGAAAAAGGCAGATTAATTTAAATGCTTTACATAATTAACATGAAAAAACTTGTAAATTTTATCATTAATTAACAGTACTATATGTTTGCACTATAGTCATTTGGACTACATGGAAATAATTATGGGCAAATAAAATCTATGAAAATCTATGTAATTAACTTTACTAGGATCTGCTATAATTAATATTTCTGAAAATTAAAAACATTTCATCAATTGAAATCTCAGATGAAAACATGTATGCCTATGATAGAAATTATATCATATTTACCTCTTTCAACAAGTTTACCTTAATTGTTGAAACAGCAAGTTTTTTTTCAAATCTCATTGTGTTTATCTAATGGTGAAAAGTCATTGCTACCCAAGACAACAAAAATCAACTTTATGTGTATTAAATTCTTTAATGCACATAATACAGAATAATTGCCTTTTCCACAGATCCCTTCAAAATATTTTGAACATATCTCTTTTAATTAAAAAGTAAGCTTTTAATAAATATTTTAGTTGGGATGATTCTCAAAGTTGTGACTTAGAGAATTTCTTACTGCACACTAAAATGCCATAATTAAACTAAGAAAACTCTTGCTATATAAACATGCATTATAAAACAATACCTATAAATGATTTTTACGTTGTCTTAGTTTCTCTGTGTCCTTACTGTAGGACCATTCTTGACCTACACTGATGGTGAGAATATATGTATAAAGGTGACTTGCCATTAAATTATATTTCTCATTTTTATTTCTGAATTCATTTGTTAAAAACAATTTTATATATTTGCATCAATTGAACACACACAATTTTCTTTTGTATTTTACTATTTAGGGGGATTCAGGAGGACCGTTAATGTGTCAAGAAAACAACAGGTGGCTCCTGGCTGGTGTGACATCATTTGGATACCAGTGTGCTCTGCCTAACCGCCCAGGGGTGTACGCCCGGGGCCAGAGGTTCACAGAGTGGATACAGAGCTTTCTCCATTAGAGTGTGTCCTGACCCAAACATGAAAATCAGGCAGTTTTCCCAGCCCACTCTAAGGAGTGTGGAAATGGAGAGTTTTGTAAAGAAAAGGAGTTTCTAAGAGCTTTTATTCTCACCTAGCTACTGAAATACAAGGGGGAGAGAAACAAACAAAACAGAATTAATCTTAACAATACTAAGTAACTCTAAAATAATACATTGTGAACAGCTATTCACAGCTATCATTTTCTTTGTTCTTAATCATTTTTATCACACTCTCTTATTGAAAGGAATGCTATTTTAAATCATATATTATCCACTTAAAACAGCTTAAGAAAAATTAGAAAAAGAAGTGATATAATTGTTTTACACAAGGTATGCTATTGTTTGAAGTGAACTGATGAAAATTATCTAATTCCAGTTTAAATTGCTCTTGTCAGAAGCTCAGTATTCTTCTCGTTTTTCTATCCAAGTGCATTTCCAGTTCAGCTGGGACATATCCTTAATGGTTCCACTGGTCATAAAAAAATGTTTTGTAAGCTCATGTCATGAAGCTGGACTAAACTGATTGCACATTCCTCTCAAATAAGCTACTTAAACAGCAAACACAAATATAAAGGTAAATTTATATCAAAATAAAAGGTAAATTTACTGATATTGTAGTTCTTTTATTGGATCCTGTATCACCTGGATGCTGTCTATTTCAAGCTAGTATTTTTTAATTTTCAAAACCAATTATACACATTTAAGAAATGCAACTATTAAAATTTCTTTTTCAATTTATGTGTGTTACAATGGATGGTTGTTTCTAACATATGCAAAACTTAAACACAGCTGAATAGACCATTAGAAGGCCAAAAATGTGGAATAAATGAATTTGTTTCACTGCTTTACTCTTTTGGATCATTTCCAGGGTATGGAAACTTTAATTTAGCATACCACACAAAATGTATTGACTTATTTGGGGAGACACAATTCATACATACTTACCAACATATGTACACACATACACACACATTCTTGCATGAGTCTACATGGTCCAAATAGAAAAAAGAGGAAGGTTCAAAGTAGTGGAAAGACAGAGTCAATTAGCACAGATTGGCCTTATGGAAGCGAAACTTGGGCTCCCCCTAAAAGGAATGATCATTAGGTATGTACCGTTGACGCACTGGGGGCCACCATGCAGGTGGGAATGGCCCTGGAAGACCAGCAAAGGCACCATAGATAATCATCTGCTGCCATGAAAGATTGTTTCACTGGGTACCAGTCAGAAAAAAAAAGGAGAAACATTTCATATAAAGAAGGCGTGGACAGATGCCTGAAGACTACAAACTCTTAGTAAGCAATTGTTGAGTTTATTTTTAGGACCAAAGACTCAGGAGTCCCTGAATACACAATTCTCTTTTAGGCTTTTCCAATTAGGAAGGACAGAACAACAGGGGAAGGGGGTGCTGTTTAATTTTACTACCTGAATATTATTCCAGAATTCACCTGCATTTCAAAACACATATGAAGAACAATGCTCTGAAAATACAACACCCACAGCTGATCCAGAAACCATATAGTCCTTTTTATTTTTCAAAGTTCAGCTAAAATTTTAAGAAACATTCAGGACAGTCTCACGGCCATCTTCTAATAACAGGGAAGTCCATTGTCCCACTCCTACTAACGCACAAGTTTAGTAAGTAATACCAGAAGAGTTATCCAGGCCTGGATCGAGATAAAAGGCAAAACCAAGGCCCTTCCCCATAGCTTTGCCTCTCTGGTGCAGCTGTTTTAGGCATGGGAGGCAGGGACATGGGGGAAGCCTAGTCTCCTTCCGCCGAGTCCTGACTACAGGGAGACACGCATGGTGGGAGCTTGGTGGGAAGAGGTAGCTTCCAGCAGCTGGTCTCCCGTTCTGCCCAGAAAGTTGGGCAGCCAAGGAAAGAGGAGTGCTCAGTGTGGCCCAATCTAAGCTTAGAATGCAGCTGCCCATTCCCTCCATCTCTAAGCAGCTGAAGATGAATTAGTGGGCCAGTGTCCACTAATTTCTATTTTCCCTTTGAGTTTTGCCAACCAACTCCAGCTGTGAATTGCCTAAATGAAAGCTCTTTATCATCCAACTGAAAAGGACTGACAGGAAAAAGATGAGGTTTAACACACTCTATAACCACAACTTTTATTCTTAGCACCCTTAAACAGTAATTTCTCGTCATCTTCATGTATTGATAGAAACGTGTCAGTATGTTATTCACTTGAGAGACTTAGACAACACACACGGTCGTTCTTCAGAAATAAGAACTTTTTATTTGGTTAAAAGGAGCACAGAGACATGTGAGGACCAGACAGTTCCCACTCTGTCTTGAGAAGAAGGCGCCGCGGGCATTGAAGAAACCGGGAGATACGACGGAGGAGCCCAGGTTTCTCTCCCAGCCACACCCTCAGTGATGGATGCATGGTCAGTGATACCCTCCAGCCATTTTTCACCCTAACTTTTAGCTTCTCTCCTTGCTAAAAGGTTAGTGTGCTGTGCTTACCTCCCCACCAACAGGACCACTCACCTGGCCCCAACAGTAAAACCCTTTTATATGCTGATAGAGGTTAAACAGAGCTAGAATAAAAAAAAAAAAAAAACCTTGGACAAAGAACGCAGCTATCTGCTTCCAGTTTCAGCCCCAAACCCCTAACAACTCCTTTGTATTGTGGTCGAGGGAGAGACCAAACTGATTCCAGAAACTTCAGAAAGGTACTTGTGGTTACATAGGCAACAGGTAAAGAAGACATATGATTATACTGTGTATGCCACCTCTTTTGTTCTAGATTGAGTATATTGTTTATACAGTGATTAACAAAGTCATTACAAAATCTGTTGAATTTTAAACTAAAAATAATTGTAAGGCACGTGTCTCACACAATTGAAATTAGACAGTTCTTGCCTCTAAGTAAAATATTTGAGTGGATTCATACCATAGTTACTGAAATAGTTTCTTATTTCTGAAGCGATTTCCTACACATTGTCTGATCCAAAGCAGAGAAGTGAAAGGTGATCCATTTCTAGACAGGAAACTTTTTCCTATGGTAATGTATTTATGTGTGTGTGAATTCATTTGACCACAGTGATAAATTCCTTTAATCAACACAGCATGTATTGAAACATGAAAGACCATAAAAATAAATATCAGAACAGTTCATTGTTATCAAACACGTAAAGGTAAAATTTTTTTGCACACTGTAAATTTCAATACAATTTACATTACATTAACTAGATTACAACCTATGAAAGGTGAAAGAAATGAAAACAACTGCTTCCAACACACATACTTCCGAGGTGTGGATAGCAAGTTTGTCTGCATGGTCCATTCCGTGTACTTGAAGTTTGGGTGCATCATTGAGCAAAATAAGCGTGTCTCACTCCATTATCAGCATAGCATAATTTGTAAATGAAATGAACATAGAAAACTCATTTTAATATTTGCCTCAAGGGGGAGCTTACAGTTCATCTTGCAGATCCTCTGAGATTTCAAGCCATTCCAAGCTAAGGTTCTGATGCCATTCTTTATACAGATCCAGAATTACAAAACTCTGTTTCCTTTTCTGGAAACAAGTCAATAAACTTTTATACTTCCATGCCACTTTCTTTTCTCGTGCTTTTTGAAATCCACAGTGTAGACTGGTTTGGGCTAGTTTTTGTTCTTCCTTTACTGAAAAACATAAGAAGAAGTAAGTTCAATGTATGAGACTTCTTATCAAACTGGTCATATCTTGGTCCAACTGGAGGTATTTGAGAGCCTTATTTTAAGAAGGTACTTCTTCTCTCACCAGCCTATTTTTTCATCCTTACAAAAAATTCCAGATTATTCCAGTAGGTGAAGATGGTAAACAGTGCATATAAAATTATGAAAACATAAAATAGATGGTTCTCTGTTGGATCCCTTATAGTTTAGAATTCAGATACACACACAAATGTTTCTGACACAACGCCAACATTTTTTATTGTAATCACCAGTAAATCATTCTTTTTGGCCTATGATTTTTGAAGTGTTGCTTTTCAAATATTCTTCCATATACATGTGCTGTATTTAACGCCAAATATCAAGATAGCGTTTTTCTCCTAAGTATAAATAAGGACCTTCCTATTTCCCTATTCCCATCAGTTTTTAGGTCCTACGATTAAGTCACTTAATCACGGAAAGTTTAATATTGTTTCAGTCTCTGAAAACAACATAGGTTCGGGTGTTGCTAACTTATGGGTATCTGAGCTTCCCTGGGTCTGAGGTTGAGCTTCACTCTCATCAGATGTGGAGTCCAGGCCCACACTTTCAGCCTGTGCCTCGGGCTGTGCTGTCTTCCAAAGCTCCATAAAACGGCCATTTCTCAGGCTCCTGTTTTAAAAGGGGCATGTTCCTGAGTGTACCGTCACCTTCTGCCAGACTACTGGTTAAGGTCTAGCTTCCTTTTGGTCTAGATTCCTGTGAGTGAACCCTCCCTGCATCGCTAACCACCTCCAGTGCCTGCGTATTGCATTCTGCACTTCCTCCCGCCCACAGGTGCTTGTTCCAACAGCACCCTTTCCAATCCCCACAGGCACGCCTTCTACCCACTCCACTCACTCTCCGTCTGCCTGACCTTGCAGAACTCCTTCAAAGAAAAAAACAATCTTCCAACAAATAAGCTTTAGAATTTGCTACTAATGAAATAATATGTTCCAGTTATATGTTTTGGAGATTTGCATCCAAATAAGCAAGATCAGCACATCTTTACCTATGAAGTCATCTCACATAAATGGAAAATAAATCAAGCAAAGTGTATGAAAAACATAGAATGTTTTAGTGGTGAAAAAGATGGTTAAGTTATTAATGTACTTTTTGTGTAGCACTAGTATTGCATTTGAGTTACTACCAGTTGAGGAAATAACAGTTATTGTTTTGAACACATCATGGAATGGTAGAAACCACCATGTGTACGAGATTGGAATTGAAACTTTCTGCAAGTCACTCAGATGATAATGCAGTCGAGACTTTGATGAAGTTTCTCCTTGCTTTCCTGGAAAAAAGGAAAAGGGGAGGATCTGAGAACGATTGAGTTAAGCACTACAGCTAATCCCGGCATCTAGAGGTACTCTATTTTGTTTATATTCCTATTCTGAGGATTTCAAACAGTGAAAACTCCACAGATCTTCAAGATGGAGAAATCTGGAAGACTTTTGAATAAATGGAATCTCTACTGTAACACACTATTTGGAAGAAGAAAAACAAACTTTAGAAAAAACTCAGTTACACCCTGGCTGGCGTAGCTCAGTGGATTGAGCTCTGGCTGTGAACCAAAGTGTCACAGGTTCGATTCCCAGTCAGGGCACATGCCTGGGTTGCAGGCCATGACCCCCAGCAACCGCACATTGATGTTTCTCTCTCTCTCTATCTCTATCACCCTCCCTTCCCTCTCTAAAAATAAAATGAATAAAATCTTAAAAAAAAAGAAAAAACTCAGTTACTAACACTTTAGTAATTTGTATCTCAGAAATGAAAAAGACTGCATAATACTTTTCAAGTTATTTTTTTTCAAGCTGACTCATTATTCACAGCTCTTCTTTAAAAGTTCCACTGGGTTATGGGAGGTTGATATCAAATCCTCCCTCTAGATTGAGGGAAAAAGAGAGAGAAAGAGAGAGAGGGAACTCATGGACACAAGCGGCAGTTTGGTGACTGCAGGCAGGTGGGGTGTGGGGACAGTGGAGGAGGGTGTAAGTGAATAAACGGTGATGGACGGAGGTCTGACTTGGAGTAGTGAACACACAGTGCAGTGTACAGAGGATGTGTTGTAGAATTGTACACTTGAAAGTTGTATAATTTTGTTTATCAGTGTGGTCCCAATAAATGCAATGTTCTTAAAAAAGAAAAATTCTCTCTTTACACCATTGCTTTCCAAAATGATAAATCATCTTAAGGGAAGAAACATTAAGGGAAGAAACTAGATACTTACTATTATATTAATTTCATACAAAATACTGAAAAACTATTTTAACTGTGTTTTACATATACATTGAAAAGCCAAGAGGACATAAAATGTAGTTTGAAGTTGCCAGGTATTATTTATTATTATTATTCAAAAAGCCTTACTTAAGCAGCCTCTAAATCACAGGTTGGATCTTTTTTAAAATTTATGTGAACTTTGGAGTTTACATTTATTTAACTTGTTTCTGGTGATTTTGTTACACAGTGGATTCATTACAGTTTATTTGAAGAAAAGAAGAAGATGAATTAATATGAAAAAAGAAAAATGGCTTATTTAAAAGTTCTTCCCTGAAAGAAAAATTCTCTCGATCAATTTTTTATTGAAAACACTCTGACAAAGATATCTAGACCAGAGGCTTTCAACCTTTTTCATCTCGTGGCACATATAAATGAATTGCTGAAATTCTGTGGGATACCAAAAAATCTATTTTTTGCCCATCCAATAAAAAACATACATATAACTTTGATTCTTTCACACTGGGTGGCTACGGCTGTGTTGGCTATTGTCACTTTTTCAATTGACAATCTAAGGGAAAAGAGGTCAGCACTCCTGAGTAAATAGTCAGGAATTGCATGTTATAAAAATTCTTGTGGCACACCATTTGAAATCACTGGTCTAGTCTATTATTGCAAGCATGTTCTTATTTAAATCCAACATCTTTTCCTTTTCTCTTTTCGTAGATATTTGTATTTCCTATGTTAATACTTTAATTGCATTGACAAATTGATACACATGGAAAAATTTTACCCCTAACTCAAGTATATGGATAAACATATATGAGGGGGACCCAAAAAAACAGAATTGCATTCTAGAGGGTGGGCCCCTTGCAGTACAGGCTCTCCCTGCTAGGTGAGTGTTCTAGGAAGCCATCTGCATCACTACACCAGCTGGCACTGTTGCAAGAGGCTGCATTTGGCTTCAATGAATGTTTTTGAAGACTCTTTCAATGCATTTGCCCCTTTCATGATGAGTGATTTACGAGTACACTGGCCCACACTACTCTGTGGGCCACACTACTCCATGCCCCAGCTTCCCTATTCATCTGACCTAACCCCGAGCAACATTATTTCGTTCCCCCAGATGAAAAAAAGTCCTCAAAGGGAAATGTCTTGCCAATGTGGAAGAGGTGAAACAAAAAAGAAAATGTCAGAAGCACTAAAGGGCATCAAAACCGAGTTCAAAAGCTGTTTTGGGCAGTGCAAAAATCGTCCCAATAGGTGTTTTTGCATCAAATGAAGAGTACTGTGAAGGTCACTGAAGTTCAAACATGTACAAATAAATACACATTTTTTTACAAATTACTTCTGGGGCTCTTTGGATTTCCCCTTGTAAGAGAGTACTCCCAAAAATCTGGCTGTTAGGACATACCATTTTATTTCAAGCTGCCTACTAAAAAGGGACATATTTTTACCACTGTGCTTTATTTCCTATACTTAAAAGATGCTTTTGAAATAAAACAGAAGGTAATGACTTGAAATTTTGAAAAGTCACTACACAGTACATGTATAAAAATTGAGTCTTGTATTCAATTTGAAATCAGTATTGAAAGGTTTAACATTAATGTTTTCACTTAATAAGCAAGGGATAGTATCATTGCCTACACTGTAAGTTTATAAGTATTCAGATTTCAGATCCATCACATGCACTAGCCATGAGACCCAAGGCAAATCGTGTCTACCCACCAACTTCTCAACTGAAAAACGGAAACGGAAGAGTACCCACTTCATACGGCTTGTGAGGATTAAATGAGATATTGCAGGAATCCTTTGAAAAGGTACATTTTATTAGATTGTATATACTGGATTGGTACTAACAGATACAAAAATGAGAACTCTCTTAAGGCAAATTAAAAACATAATTTTATGCTAATTTTAAAACTTTTCAAGGAGTCTCAATATATAGGAATTATTTACCTTTTATGCAGCATCTGGAAACAGCAAGTACCAAAAGCAACCAGTATCAGTAAGAGCAGTGGGATTGTTGGTATAACGACATAAATTAAGTTGGGAATTATGCCTACAAAAGTAAAACAGTCAGTTTAAAAAGGCAGTTGAGGCAGAATTTTAACACCAAAGTTATATAAAAGTTTTCCAAAAATCTGGGGTAAAGTAAAATTATTATAAATAACTAGATTCTAAATAAGGTCCTTCCCTAATTACTAAATAGTCTAAGACATACTATATCCATGTTTGTTAAAAATCAAAAACAAAATCATACTGCACTGGTGGCCATACTCCTGTTCAATGCCATCTTTCCAAAAGTATTATTAAATCTGCTATTCAGGTAGGGCCTTGTTTTCATCAGGAATTAATAATCATAGTTATCTCACTTCACTGATCCTTCTTAGTTCCTAGAGTAGCAAGCATTGATGTTTAGAGAATCATAATCATTATTAAAATAACTGTTGATTTATTGGACATGTAATTATCCTAACCAATAAGCTCACTATCATGATTATATGCAAGATTCCCTGAGATTAAACCAAAATATGCAAATAGTAACTGATGATACAGTCATAACCCAGAGATTCAAGACTTCAGAGACATGAAGACTTGGTCTTAATTAAATTCTAAAATGAATTGTCTTTTTAATCCTGTCCCATACCACTTAATAATACTGGTATTCTTGATAAAATAAAAACTGGAGTCTCAGGCAGCATATGATGACTTTATTAAACATTTTTTTCACTGTCATAAGGGAAATTATTCCTAATGTAATTATTTACTGATATCTTTAATTAGGTTTAGATGTTCTGAATGGTTTATAATCAGGCATCTGAAAAATAAAGAGTACTAAGTTTTAAACAATTTAAAAACTATCCATTTAGCTACCAAGTCAAAAACTGTCATGATTATTAATTTAAATAATTCTGGCCACAGTAGACCTAACTTGGAGCAAACTATGCCTTTAACTGCATATCACTTCCTCTGTTAACACAAGGTTATATCAACTAAGGTTCAGTGATGTTGAGTATAATTTGCTCCGAGTTCAACAACTCTTGAGCCTCCAGCAAATAACAGGTAACATTGAGAATTTTTAATTCACAAAATGTTTTCTTGCTCTTTCAAAATACCATCATGATTATATATGCATATGTATATATGTGTGTGTGTGTGTGTGTGTATATATATATATATATATATATATATATATATATATATGAAAAAAGGAGACAGTATTCCCTACTCTTTCATGGATTTTGTATTGCCTGTGAAAATATTTTGAGACTTTGGGACTTTAGCTCTAACTTCACAAAGCAACTAGGATAAATCAATATTTCTGTCAAATTGGCATAGGGCCCTGCTAAAACTATCTCTGACTAGCATGCAATTTGCATTGGGATTTCATTGTTTCTTTTGCAGACAGTGGTATGTTAAAGGCAGCTGGGTATAGAGCTCATTGTATGCATTTTTCTCACCCTGTTATTCAATGATGTTACTCTGGTGGCTTGAAATCAGCCAGGGAGTGTTCACATCACAGAAAATTCCAAAGTCAACAAATCAGAGTTTTTATTTCACACCCCAGCCAACCCTTAAACAGTGACCAGCACACCACTGTTCACAGGCTGCTGCCTATACCACCTTCCATCACAACTCCTACACGTAATTGGGGAAGTTCTTTGTAGATCCTGATTCTAATTGGGATTACTTAGTTTAGTACTAGATACACCCAATTAGAAGAAAACAAGTAAGTTCTTGTACTGAAAAACTAGTTGAGCACCATTTGTTCTAACCTAGCTCAAAAGTAAATTTCCATTGGTTGGCCAGTATGTAGCACACCACTTCAACAAGCAACAGGAAAAGTTGGGGCCAGCAGGAAGTAGAGTTTAAACATACAGTTTCTGTCCCTGACAGAGGGGTTAGAAACCCGGGAACAAATTACCTGCTTCAGTAACAACCACATTTTGATGGGCGTCTCCTGGTTGGTTTGTAAAATACGTCTTTTCTCCAGGAGCTGTTGGACTAATCTCTGTAGATAATAAGTGCAGACATCATATGTAATGATAAACAAGAGAAATACAAATAAAGATAAAAATAAAAGTTTACAATAAAACCATACAAACACCAGAGTTTCGACTTCTGAACAATTTACAGCTAAGAATTATATTTTGAATTTAAATTTACATTAAATGATCTTTAAATCAAGCATCCGCCTAATGAATCCTTGCAACACACAATCGCAGCAGCAGTTGACAGTGTGCCAATACTAACACAGCCCGCTACAGGCAGTGATGACAAAGCCGGCAGGACGCTAGGCAAAGATAAGCAAGAATCCGTGACCACAGCACACGAGCCACTGACTGCAATTCAATGGCAAGTAAAGATGATGTGGGTGCTAATATCAGTGCCATGTTTAGGTGTCTCCTCACAATAATAATCAGCAGAAGATTGTACATGGATTGCACTTGGTGCTGATGATTCAAATATTAATAATGTTCTATGTACATATCTGCCCTATACAAATAATGCCATCCTTATATTTACTTTCCAATAGTGTCTACCTCTTTTAAAATAATAATAAATTAAGGCTTGTGAGATGTTTCTTTCCCTGGGTTTATAAGATGAGATCTCTTCAATTGCCATGCCCTTAAAGTATATTGAAATATCTTACCATCATTTGGTATTGCTCTGCCACCAATTTTTTCCTAGATTCTTCTTTTTAAAGTAATAAGTCATGGAATATCAATTAAATTAGCAAGAAAATACCCTATAAATTTGTTTTCATTTAATCCAAAAAATAATGTCCTATTTATTTTTGTCAAGTGATGGAAAGGAAAGCATTCATGCAGTATCTTATCTTAGTTTCAGAGTAGTGAGTCATGTTAGTGTAATGTTTACTACTCTAATTTGACCACATAGTCTGTATTCTTTGGAAGCTTAATCACATGCCATCCTCTAATAATACTTACTGTTCTTTATGCATATGTCACCCTGACACTTCAACAAGCCTCCTCTAGGTTTTAGATACAGTCCTGCCTTCCACTCACTCTTCTGCACTGTCTGCCTGTGCTCAACAGGTACTTGCTGAACAATGAATACAGATATTATGTAATTTATCAACACAGAACTGATTATTTTTAAAGTAATTTTAATAAATTTTAAGTTAATGCAGCTGCTGATTAAGTAACAATGCTTTATGGACATAATCCCATACATGCTATTTTAACACCTTAGAATAAGAATATATAATGCAATTTTAATAAATACAAAAATTAGATTCAGACATATGTCCATAAATATGCATTTGGGTAATATTGCTAGACCTAATGAATAGATATGCAACTCACAGGACAGTAAATAACAAAAAAACAGTGGCAGAAAGAATGAGAAAACTCAGAAGTAAATTATTCAGTTTCTGCTTAGCTAGGTTAATTTTTTACCACTTTGGATACCATTAGTCATACTTAGATGGCATGTCGGAGCAGAAAGAAGAGACTAAGTTCAAATCACAAGGTAGTTCTGGTATAGTTGGAGAATAAAGTTCAAAATAATTAGTGTTATAATTTATAAATTTTAAATATTTTTGCTGCTTAATCCTCCAACCCCCCTCAGCACTAAAAAGCTAACCACTAACCACCCAAAAAGTACTGACTCTTATAAGCAAGGAATGTAATGAAACCTACATCTTTCATAGATGAGACACTAAGATTGAGGAAGTTTAACTGAGTATAAAAGTTAGATGAAAATGTTTAACATAAAGAATAAAAATTATATGTACATTAATAAAACCAGCTATAAAATTGTGCATGTGCTTCCAAAGCAATAAATTATAAAAGAATATTGCTCACAAAGTATAGATATTTGAAGGTTTAGGTAGAATACAGAAGATAAAGAAAAATAATAATTTTATGACTACAATGCTCTTCCAAGAGCAATATAAACCTAGATTATCTAATGTGAAACAAGCCAAGAAGATTCTAGGGTTATAGTGTCCTGAATAACATAAGACAAAAAAAAATGTACTTAAGGTCAAATTGTTCATCTAAAAGCTCAGAGAAGAAGACAATGTTGTATTAAGAAGATTTTTTAATATACTCTGTTTCATTTAATAGCTTTAGTACACACAGTCACAAATTTAAACTATCAGAGAAGCACTTTTTGGCCTTTTGGCTAAGATCAAGTGTAAAGTATCAGAGAATTTCAACTTTCTATTTTTCTACAAAAAAATAAAGACAAAGAACATAAAAGCATAACAGATTTGGCTTTGTGAAAATCTTCTAGGAGGGTAATGATGGATTTAGCAGCCTAGGCATTGGTAAAGAATAAACTCACCAGGGACAGAAAGTTGGCTAATATACTCAAGAGCAGGATAAACATGAGAAGAGACTAAATCTAATCTATAATCCAAATAATCCCTTGTGCTTTACAGTCTTGTGAGAAAATGAAATAATGTAATTTCAAGAGAATAATGGAAGTAGCAGAACTTAACTGTAACCAACTTCCATAAACGCATGAGGCCAAGCAGACAGAAGAGAGAAAATGATACTTCTGAACACTGAGGAGCCAAACAGCCAAAAAATACTCTCAAAACCTAAGTATCTAATTTGACTTTCTTAAACTGTTTTTAAAAATGAGTTTACACAGTTTTGATTAACCTCTCTTTTGGTTAAATAGCAATTCAGTTGAGTTGTCTTACTCAAAGTAATTCAAATGTACTGTTTCCACAGGAAACCACACGGGTTGTAGCTCAGGGCAATGCGGTCTTCTTATTTGTGGCCTATGGCAGTGAACTGGAGACTTCAAGTGAAAGCTGGTTAAGGAAGCACACCTCAAAGAGTGAGGATCACAGCAAGAAAAGGGCACATGCCCCTCTTTTTTTCAGTATGGATGGTTCAACAAGCTATGACCAGTTTAACATTTACTGAGCAGAACATGCCAAGTATGATGCCCTGAAATAACGAGGTAATGTTTCAGGAGAAGGTTTCTTCAATCCCTTAAATTCCCCAGATAATCAGTTAAAAAACTTGCTCAGATATGTAAATCTACAGGTGCTTTGGTGACATACCTCCTTCATACATACTGTACTAAATATTTAAAATATTTCAAAATAGATGTTTATTTTTCATTAAATCTATGTACAAAACACAACTTGGCTTTAATATTACAAATGGTTTTCTCTTAAAGGCACCCCTCCAGATGTTTCTGGTTACTCCCTCACTCTGTGTCTAGTGACTGTAGTTTGTTTCCAGTTACTCCAGTGTCTATAGTTCCTAGTTACACTAGTCCTATTTAAGTCCTTGGGCAGTGTGCTCTACAGTACACCCCATGCTTCACTACACTCAGTGATATGACAAGTTGCCAAGTACTTTCATGTTTCAGAGCAAAAAAAAATGCCAAATGTAGCAAAGCTTAAAGATAAAACTGACTATAAGCAAATACGCTCAAGATCTGCTATACCAACTCACAACACATCCTACCTGGTTCATACTTGCAGATGTAATTGTGCTTCATGTTGCACCTGTCGTCATTCCACTGGTAAAGGTAGGGGCCTCCAAGGCCAGGATTGGCGGTGGGTTGATGATACATCACGACGCACTTTTCACTTCCACAGGAAGGTTCATCAGTATACCAGTTTCTGCAAATACAAGGCAGGTGGGACAAAAGTAGGTTTGCAGTTGTTCATATGAAAAATAATACAATAATTAATGAATAATACAAAAATAAAACCTGTTTTGCATACTCACAACTGTGAACCTACCTTTGTCCCACTCTGTTGAGCAGCAAGAACACCTCTAAGTGATCTTCGCTGCTCTGTTCTGACATTCTATACAGGTAACAGAAATCTCCCCCAGGCCCCGACTCACCGGTACTGGGAGCTGCTTCCGTCAGACCACCGGTAGAGATCTGGGCAGGTACCGGATGCTTGCCCGTCTCCATTTCTCCAAAGGCCTATCCAGAAATCACCATCAGAAATACCTGTGCCTGGTTTTGTCAGGTTTTGCAACATGCTTTCTATTAACTTCTGTTCTGCTTCGTTTTCAAGGCTGAGCAGGACTCCCCCCTCACTCTCACACGCCAGTCGTGCCTCCTGGAAGCTCACGCGGCTGGACAGTTCATGGAAATAGGCCATTTTGTAGCACGGGTGCTTGTAGTCAGCAAAACACACCTTTTGGCCTAATGGGAAAAAAAGATGAAGACTTAAACACATAGGCAACAAAAAAAAAGTTTTATTAAAATTTTTTTCTCAAAATTGAATTTCACGTATACCTATATATCAAGCAGAATGAATTTCCCTGGTGACTTTGTGACATAACTACAAATACACATCATCATATCACATTATAATGAAGCCATAGTGTATAAGATTTAGCTAACTCTACCAGCAATGGAATTTCTATTGCTTACACCCTCCTCCTTTTACCACCAGACATGTAGGCCAAGATTATAGAGACTCTTCCCAGTGGTCATGCTGTTTGGTTTTATTTTTCATGATCTTCTTTAGCTCATCTCTGATCTTTGCTCGTCAACTTTAAAAACTGCCACAAATCCATCTCAGTCACTGTTCCTCATTTCCAACCTGCTGCCCATGACCTACTCTACTCTCTTAGTCTTTGACTTCAGCTTAGGTTTAGACTTAGAAGACAGAATATTTGACTGTTTTATGTAAAATTAAGTTAAATTACTTTATGTTGAGAAATTAAGGCACAGCTTTACTGTTTTCTTATGGGTTGTCTGCGTGAATATTGTTCTTGTTGAGATTGAAGGCTTTGTTCCCTATGTATTTAATTTTGTAGCCAACCAAGAAAAGTTGTCAGTGGTGGAAGGGTGGGAGTATAATTGTACTTTAATGCTGGCTAAAAAATAAAGCATTCGAGCTTTGCACTCTTAATTACAGTGTATCACAGTGAGCCAGTGTTGGTATCACATCCATTCTCCCCCAGAATCAGCAATTAATGACCAGTGATGACACTCAGAGGCAGAAGGGAGCAGAAATCAGCACAAGGCCATTAACCTCACCACAGTGTTTGAGTGATGGGTGTTCAGTAACTTGGCACAAGCTGAGAACAGCCAACTAATGAAATGGCAGCTCCAGCAATTCAAGTAAGACAGCCAGTTGTCCTCTGTCTCATTAACTGCGATCTGGACCCAGGAGCAACACACTGAATGATATGAACAAATTAGCAGACTGCCCAACTAATTGTTAATGAAAAATAACAGGCTAGTATGAATGCCCAAAGGGCATTGGAATTAAAGAGACTTCAAATGGACAAAATAAGTCTGAAACATTCCTTGAGAGATGATTAGGGAAGTCCCAAATGTTAATTCTAATATAGCTATTATTTAAAATTTCTCTTAGTTTATTATAAGGTTTTATGTTGACTACATTAATTAAAAGTGGTTTTCCTGGTAATGTTCTAATAATGCCATTAAGCCTAGTGATTTTTATACCTATATTTTAAAATCAAGCTCTGTTTCCATTTTCGTCTTCTACATCCTTTACATATCTCTAAGTTTCAAAATATCTAACTGCATTCTCTTGAGGCTGCAGTTTGTTTAGCTTTTCATTCTAAGAAATCACAGACTTGGATTTGACTCCAGCACTTTTAAAATATTAAACTTTTCCAACATGATTGTTTTGCAAGATGTCAAAAAGCCAAGTTTAAAAAAAAAAAGATTATAGAAAAGCTTTAATAAGTAAAAATTATTCACATAACAAAGCCAACACACATTCAGAAGATGCACAGGTATGATTTTAATGCGAACAGTCTCTGCTCCTTATCTTTCATATATTAAAAAAAATAAATGCAACACAGGTTTATTATGTATGATGAGGATACAAAAATGATGAAACTAAACTGATTTATAAAATTCAGACAGCACTTCTAATTAAATACATGAGAGCTTTAGCCCTGACTGGTGTGGATCAGTGGGTCAGGCCTCATCCCACAAAGCAAAAGGTCACCAGTTTGATTCCTGGTCAGGGCACATGCCCGGGTTGTAGGTGAGGTCCTCAGCTGTGGGTGCAAGATGTTTATCCATTGATGTTTATCTCTTGCATTAATGTTTCTTCCCCTCTCTTTCTCCATCCCTACCCCTCTCTCTAAACATCATCAATAAATAAAAAATCTTTAATTGCACGAGAGCTTTAAATGTCATGAAAAAACCCTTAATACCACTCTTAAGTATTAGCAAAGTAGATAAATGTTAGTCTGTAGAGAGATAATAAGAGAAAATCCACAGACAAGGATTATATTAACATAATTAATAAGAAATACTGCACAGGCCTTGGATGATAGCCAGCCTTGACAGTCGCCGTGGCTGTGGATGATGGATTGGTCCAGGGATCTGGGTGATGGGGTGGAGATAGTGGTGGCTGCACCGCAGGGCAAATCTCAGAGGATCCGGGCACTGGCCAGTTCCCAACTACAGATAGACGTTAACTCCAAAGTGTATTGACTCAGATTTTGACCTGAAGTCACTACCAGTTCTGATCTAGCCAGGCAGTTTTCAGGAAATTGTGGAAACATTGCAGTTTTTTAATTAAATGAGATGTATATCATGGTCAGTTAAAGCTGGCACTGTGAACTTCTTTACACCCAATTGTACTTCATTACTGATTTCCACCGTATTGGGCAAATTTAGTCCAAGTTGCGGCACAACCAGCAAAAAAGATGCTACCAAACTACTGCCGTCATTGGGCTGTGATTGCAGTGGAACTCCAACAGCTGGGAGACAGATGCTGCCTTGATTCCCAGAGAAGTCTCATTAACACGGATCTTTGGGAAGTGACTTTTCCCACCTCTACAAAGGCTAATATTCTTAAAGAACTGTTATGATCACCACCCTTCCCATTCTGTGAGATCACAGAGAACATTTCCTTTTCTCTTTTAAATATTATATCCAGATGAAATCTTCCATCACTGTATTGAAATACAGGAATCCTAATCTTCCATCTATTACATCCACTTCCATCTATCGTTCTACTCCCCTTAACATATTCAGAAAATTGGATAACAGTTTTTACTACTCAGAGGCTGCCTTGATATTGTCCAACAATAATTTACTAAATGTTGCCTAACATCTGCTGTGACAAACATTCTTTGATTGTTGGCTTATTTACAGGAGAAAGAAAAGATATTCCACCTAAAATTCTGCACCTCTATTGGCTTCTCACACCCATTAACTTTTATTTAGAGATATTTCTCAGTATTGCCTATTAAAATACGCATCCCTATCAATATCAGAGCTAAGATTGTGCTACTATTTCCATGAATACATATATTTGTCTTTTTTCTTAGTCATTAAAATTCCTTTAGAGCTAAATATTGGCAGAACTATAAGTGCTTTTGGCAATAATGTAAAAGTGGAGTGAAACTCATAAATGCATTGTAGTTTACTTTTTTCTTCCTAAATAGAAAGGATCTAAGATTTGTTTTATTTTGTTTATATGTATTAACCTTCTGACAGGAGTGTCCTCAGTTTGTTAGTAAATATCATTTTTCTTATACCTCCCACTATAATCATATATTATAATCATATATTATAAGTATTAAATTATTGAATTTATATCACATTATTCAATAAAATACAGAAGATACTTTATGAATTCCTAATGCTCCATTGTGACGTACCTTAGGTTGCAAAGAAAAAGTTCAACAAAAGCAGATCTGCATAATAAGTCCAAACCTGATTGACTAGACTTTATTTTATCAGAAACCCACAACATAATTTGTTTACCATAGTTCTGTTTTTACTTCCCTAAAAATCACCCTGGTAAGTATGCCGGCACTATAATACCCAGGGTAGCATGACCTTTGATGGCAACGCCCACACTTTCAAGGTAGAAAGTAAGCAAATACTGCTGATCCTGTTTCTGTTTTCCGTGTTCCATATCACACCAACTTCTTCAGAATTTTCCTTCATAAAAAAAGTTTTGTCATACTAAACTTCATTTTTGTGACAGGGGTTTTTAGAATGCAATGACTATTAAGATTGTGCTGAAATCCATTTTCCAACATTGGTAAGCAAAACCAAAACTGTAATCTTGGGTCATTTTATGAATGGTGGTGGCAGCTGTGAGCCCTCCCTCTCCAGCTAGGGAATACCATGTGCTTCCTGACAAGGAGATGAGACGTGTCTTTTTAAAATCCCAATATTTAAAATCAAGATCTAAATAGTAAATGGTAAACCAAGGAACTGTGTGACAAGATTTCAAGCATTCTATCAACCAGGACTGGCTTTGTATTCCAGAACTACACTTGAACTATGGGGACATGACTTAAACTTTCCTGGCCTCTGTTTTCTTACCAAAAGTGGTTATGCACTTTAAAGAAATAATGATAGCCTGCCATTTATCGATAGTTTAGTATGCAGGGGCCTCACTGCCAGCACCATCCATGCCTTGGGGTAAATTAGGAAAAGGTGTCTCCTGGTGATACAGACTTATTACCTAGAAAAAAAGAAACGTGTTTCCCCATAGGGGACCTCACTCCAAGCACAGGGCCGGCCAAGCCGGGTCCCCTGTACAGCTCCTTAGCCTTCACTCCCAAGCATCGCACAGCCTGCACAGCTGTGTCACACCTTTTTAACCCCCCAACCACCCTATGCTGTAGGCGTTCTCATCCCATTTCTAAAACAAAGGGGAGCAAAGGAAAGTTAAGTAACTTTCTGAAATTCACACAGCTCATAAATAATAAAATCAGGGTTTAGGAGCAGGCAGCCAGGCTGTATAGTTCATGCATGTACCCCGATTTCTGTACAGCCCCCATACATACCTCAAATGTAACATTTTTTACTGACTGAGAAGATTTCAAAATAAAGGATTGATGAATATATACATTATTCATGTTTTTATATTGTAATTATTAGTATTGATCCATTAATGATCACTGGGTGGCTAATATAGGCAAGGGGTTGGCCCTTGAGAGATTGTTTCTAAGCTGATTGTGGATTTTCTATGACTGAACATTTAGTCATAGGATTAATATTGGAATATCGATCTCATATTTCCAGACCATACATGTCTTTAATGATTATTTTATTGAGCCTTTTTGTTTTCCAAATAAAATGAACACAGGCCAAACTGAATTTTTCCCCTAATTACAAGGAGGATAACTTTAATCAAGTTCACAGGTCATGTTGTATCATCAGTGGTATGTTAAAAGAGTGAAAGAAGCAGTCTCCCTGGGAAGTGTGTACCCTGGCCACCCACATGTGTAGTAGCTACACAGAAGACAGTTGCAAAGAGTAAAAATCATTAGCGAGAACATTAGCTGCATTGCTGCTTGCACGCCTTTATTAAATAATACTGCCCTCTTTATCATGTTAATGGAATAGATATTGCCACTTTCAGGAAAAAGAGTTATAAAAACAAAACCAAAATGCTGAAAAACAGCAATTAGGCATTAATGGCTATGATAAATGTGTCGTTTACTAAGTGGCTAGTAATAAGATTAATTTGTTCCCTTCTTGCCCAAGAGATACTTAAAGTAATTGCATCTAGGAAAACTGCACCGTCATCACTTTATGCTTTTGATGATGTCATGGAATTCTACTAGAGCCTGGGATAACAGTTTCTGTATCTCCTTTGCTATTATATTAATCTATAGGCTACTGAACACCACCATGATTTTGCAATATTCTGTGGCATCTCTATGAGAAAATGAGAGCTCCCTAAAACATCCAGTTCCCTAAACAAAATGTGGGCCAACTGTAAGTTCAAGTTAATTCATATTAAAATGTTCTGCAGACATTTGGAGACACCATGAAACACACTCAATGGCATTTTGCAGCACAAACAGGTTGAGGATCACGGCTGTGAGCACTGAAAAAAGAGAGAGTAAAAAACAAACAAAAGAAACACATTACTACAAAACTTTTCAAATGTTTGAAAATATCCACAAGCTCCTCAAACACATCTTCCCATCTGGTAACCTGAATTTTGAACTCTTCTTTCTGATACATATCCATATCCCTGTAACTAAAAACCTCTTACCTTTGTCCTGAAGATTTCATTACCTACCAGTCGCTTTACAAAATTAAATGCCTGCAGCCCCCATAGGTATTCCCTACACATCTGTGTTCAGCAATAAATCAGTTCAGGTCTAAGACCCTAAAAGCAGTTCCCAACTTAGCATCATAAATTCACAAAATACTCCCTGATTGTTATTCTCATGGTTATATAGTTGTAGTGCATATTTATGCATCAAGATAAGCACACCAATAACTTATAAAAATATTTCTCTACAACTGCTAGATGCTATTAACTCTTATGGGGAAGATTATGATGATAAAGTTGTTTAAAATGTTACTTCCTTTTAAATACTTTCACTTCATTTATAAATAATGCTCTCAACGTTTAAAAGGATGATGAATTATAAAGTACTAGAAAATATAACTGAATATTTTGAAATACTAGCATAAGAATTTCTATGAAGGATCATTTTATGAGTACCTGTCATTTTTCTAGGGTGATGATTTTGGTACACCATGTAGAAAATATAAATAGTTGTATTGATGTTTAATAAATAGAAAATGTATCCCATATATTGTAAGTATATTTCTAATACTGGTCCCAAAGAACTTGTTGCAGTCAACACACACTTGAGATTTTTGGTAAATGGTCCCTAGTGGCATGAACAAGTCGATGCACCCCTCAAAAGTTGATGACCAGGCAGACATTAGACTTACTACTTCCAAAATGCCTCACTTTAAACTATTCTGTGCTCATGTCATTATGGCTGAAATATATATTTTCTAAAGAAAGTCTTCAAAGAATAAAATCGCAAGTCAGTTTATAATGCTAAATGTCAATGTGAACTTTTATGACCACATACAATTAAATTATTCATAAAATCATAATTGTTTAATATCAAGTAAACATCATCATTTATGCTAAATCAAATCTATCATGTTCAGTTAACTAGAAATGTTCCAGATGTCACCCAAAAGATGCCTATAAATAGTAGAAAAAACACAGCAAAAGGTTTGCAACAATTTATGCAATAACAAAACACAGAATAAACTTTCACCAACAATTTTTAATTTCTATTTTTACACCATATATCTTTTTTATTCCCTTGCAAAGTTAAGGCACACAAACAAGAATATACCAAAAGGATATTATTTAATTCAAGTAAATGTTTTAGGTGTTTAAAAATCACCTTATGCTCAAAGCCTGGTCTCCACTCTCCGTTCATTTGCAAGAGTAATTCTGATAAACACAAAGGCAGTCAGGTATGTAATTCACACATGCAGATGAGTCAAATATATTGTAAAGTTTTGCTTCAAAGTTAAACAAAGGGGAAATGGAACTGATGGTATGGCTTCTGAAACATCCTTATTTGGTACTGTTAAGTTTTCATTTTAGAAATACTAACAGCCTAATTTTCCTTTTTTAAAAAAAAAGTAAGCAGTATGCATTTCCAAATGACATTTCACAATGTATTTAATTCCAATGGTTCCACAGTGCCAAAAAATTAGTAGAGAATGCATGATAACTAGACATTTAAGACTTATATTCTGAACATGTAGAACATCACACATTGCTGAGGGGAAAATCGGTAATCATTAAGCTTAATATGCCAGTTCCTAAAGGTCTGGCTTCACAGCTGATTAAGTTGCTGTCATCTGTCCCCTCTACCTCTGGTGACACCTGTTATAAGATGCACAGAATGTGAAAGGAAATTTGTGGGTTTTACCTTAAAAATCTTCCCACACTTAAAATACATACCCATATACTTTTAACAAATATTCATTGCAACACCTTAGTTAGCATCGCAGAGGTTTCAATAAAAGGAGCTAGCTACCTATGCTGTTTTCAAAAAGGCCCGATTAATGCATCCTGGGCTGTTGAGAATCCTCATGTGTTTTAAGAGACCTTGCTAAAAAGTAAGAAAGGGAGAATCAACTATAAATTGCTCAACAATAGGGGAGTGAAAGTCAAAGAATAAGAAAAATCAGAGCGAATGCTCGGAAGCTTGCCATTTCTGAACCATTTACCTTGTGCTGACTCCAACGACCTAACTGGACACCTACTGTGTGCACGAACCTATACACCTAGTAGCCACCATCCACAACCTCAGCCCAACCTCATTTTCTGTTAAGTCCCCAACTTGGAATGAGGTGGCCAAGGAAAGGCGTCTGCGCACTGTGACCAGTCCCCTATTCTTTGTCAGACCTCCCGAGAACAAAGGCTGTGTGCCCTGGGGTCGGGGAGCGACGCACAGCCAACAAATCTGGTCTCAGAAACGCTCCCAGTGAGCACGGCGTGTGGGCTGAAGTGGCCAATAGGGGGTGGCATTCCCGGCGGCGGCTCTTCCTCCCCGGACTCCCTCTGTGCCCGCGGTACCCCACCCCTGCCGCAGGTGCCCAGCCCTGTCCTGTGGCCAACTCTCATACAGAGAAAGTGGAAATAAATTACTCCTCGAAAACACTGTGCAGCTCATGATGAAGCAGAGCTCGTTTCGCAGCTACTGAACCAGGCGCTTCCCACATTTTTAAACTTTTTGTGTGTATTTCGGGGGAGGTGAACATAGAGCACAATCCGTTTCCCACGCCTCCCGGCTCCCTACCCATCACAGGTTCCCAACCCCGGGGACAACCTCCACCCCAAGACGGGCTGCCCCGCATCGCCCTCGCCTGCGCGCCCCACGGTTCACCTCCCTGCTTGTCCACTCGGCGAGCAGGCAGCCCCCGGACTCACCGCTGACCACCCGTCGGCAAAAGGCTCCGTGACAGCAAAGCAGAGCGGCTCCCAACAGCAGCGAGACCACGCGGCTCATCGCGGCAAGGCGGCGGCGGCGGCAGCAACAGCAGCAGGTGTGGCCCGGAGCAAAGACGGCCTTTGCCCGCTACACAGCCAAGGCTCTAACCCCCGAGCCTCCCTGCCTCCCTGCCGGCCCTACTCCAGCTGCCGGAGCCAAGCCACCCGGTCCCCTGCACGCATCGCCTTTGGCCGGACTTGGAGCGGGGCGCGCTGGCGTCGCGCGAGGGTTTGCTCCGCTAGAGCGCACGACCCCGGCGGTGCGCGTTCAGGGAGGAGGAACAGAAGTTAGGGGGTCTTCTGTGGGTCTCAGGTTTGCAGCCGAAGCTCCGATTAGACCCCACCAGCCCGCTTTGATCCTCTCCCGGCCTTTAGTGAGTGAGGGGCTGAGTCCGCGAGGCTAGATCTCGGATCTCAGGACAGCCGCAGCAGCTCTGCGCTGGAGCCTCCGGCTTATATACCCACATCCCGACGCTCCGGCCCCTCGCTAGTAGCAATTTTTAACTACTTCGTTTCTCCTGCCCTGCGGACTATCCCGGCCCCTCCCCTAAAAACTGGAGCCACTTTGAAAACCGTCCACTCAGCAGCTCCACCTCCTCCACTCCACTCCTCCCCGTCCCTCTTTTCATTCGCTAACAGGCCCGAAGTTCATTTGGGTAAAATGCGACAGTTTTGCTATTACATTCGGGCAAAAGTTGGACCAATTTGGTTGTCTCAAAGATTAATGTCCACGGGGATGCCAAGTTGTGGAGCCTTTCTTTTTGTGTGTGTGCTAAATTGCTTGATCATGAGTACTGCTAGATGCAGGGCACGATGCACTATTGAAGATGAATTGGCGGAAAGGGAGCCAAAACCTGCTTAGTGAATTATATAATGTGGCAGGTTTTTCCCCACGTCGGTTCTACAAATAGATGACTTCCCAGCAAGTTTGTTTGACTAAAATTGCCACAGGAGTAATTTCAAAGAATATTTGAAGCACGATTTTCCCAACTGGTTTCCATCTTAGTATGCGCAGCTCCGGAGAAAACCATCAAGGCAAAATAAATATTCTGAGTACTTGGGAATTTCATGGACGTAAATGTATGCATTTCTCTGCAATCATCTATCAGTGACTTAAGGTTTACGTGAGAAGCAAGACTCAATCTAAAACCTACAAAGACATTTTTCTATACCCTTACCGAGTCTCTCTCTATTAAAAGTCCGTTTAAGGATGCTAGGGTTTCCTGAAGCATTGGGAAGAAGTTAGCCCATGGGCTAGCCCATCTACAGCCCATGATAGGAAGTTTGAGGATGCTCGTAAGGAAGTTCAGTAGAAATGGTGTTTTTGCCCATGTCGTTGTGCATGTCCAAGGGTTTGTTAATTAATATCCTTTGTTTTTAATAGACAGTAAACTTTCCTGTAACACCCTCGTCTTTATTTTTCACAAGGCAGAAGCACACTATAAACATTTGTTGGACTGTTGTCCTGAAATAGGTTAATCCTGCTATGGTAAAAACTAGTCTTGCAGGATAAGAAGTTTTAGCACTTGGAAAGACTTTAAATAATATTAAACCCACTCAAAAAATGCCCTACTCAAAAAAAAATCCTAAAATAATTATAAGGATGTCTACCAGTTTATTTTTCCTTGTATAACCATGAAAAGTCTAATTTAATATCAGGCCATGGGAAAGTAATAAGTCTTGCAGAGGGTATGGATTTTTTAAATTTTACCACTAGCTAAGTGTCCAAAAGAAACAAGCATTGCTGGGATTCTGAATGGATACCTGATAAATCCACAAGGCAGTGGAGGACTGCTCAGCCTCGTGAACCCTTTCAAAGAGACTGGGTGGTTGTGATCACAGAATTGCTCCAGGGACTCACTGCCCAGTGTGGGGAAAGAAATGTAATAGTGACTGTGTGTCATGGTTAGCACAGAGGAATGGCGTAGTTTTGCAGGAATTTTCTAGCAGTTGTCCAGGTTGAAGGTGATGATCCTCGTTGGCTGGTGACCTGAGTGAATTCTCCAAATGTCTGCGCACCTGGGATTCTGAACAAGAATTTCTTTCTCCTTTCATGGCACCCCACTCCTAGATATTAGTGTAGCCCAGAGCTATCATGAGAAGGTGCCTGTTTGGGAAGGACTATCAGTGGATTATGGCATGAGCACTGGATACAACCTCCTACATATCAACAGACTCCAGATGCCCCAAGTGTCTCTGACATCGAAAAAGCCAGCAAGTCCTTGAACTTATTATTGTCCAGGGGGACCCCCATGGGTTTTGTACTTCAAAAATCCAAATTATAACAACTGAATCTTCAATAGGGTTGTACAGACATCCAAGCATATAGTTTCTTTAGGTTAGGATTTAATTAGTTCAAGGTGTCCATACTGGTTTACGAGGGCTGCTCAGCAGTTTGACTTACCAGAAAAACAAAGTATTAAAGGTTCTTTTTAGATATGATTATTTTAAGGGGACTAGATGACAAGACTAGCTATTTTCTTTGTTTCTCCATCACTAGCAAACATCTGGATGGATCATCACTAAATTCGGAGAGCACATTTTGGGTAATCTCAAATACACAATAAGAGTGGTACTAGAGATTCCTTTTGGAGAGCATGATGGGGAAGTATCTCTCAAATAATTTTTTTCATATAGGGTAGTTGAAGATATACAACAAAAATTTTCAGCAAAATTGCATTTAAAATATAAAGTTATTAGACATCAGGTGAAAACAACAAATATCCACTTTTTTGTAACGAAATACTTTCATTGTTTTTCTCTGTGGATAATGTATAAGGTATCATCAGAGACAAATGGCTCTCTCATAGCAAACACATTTCAGTCCCACATTAAGGGAACAAAATGAGAAGTTGAAGAACTGCTTGCAGATCAGCAAGGAGACAAGGGGCCCCTCAAGAGAAACCCTAGGGTTAGGTGAGGAATGTTTACCTGTGCACAGACTTGGACCTTAAGAGGCCCTGAAACCAAGTGTGACCAGACCACGTGATTGGTGACTGGCAATCAGGACAGAGGTCCATCACAAGATTCTGTGCTCGATTTTAAAAAACTCAAATAAGAACCTCACACTGATTAGGGTAATGAGTTCAATATCGATTCAACAATGCACAGCACATCCCTTCAAGCCCCCAAACAAAAGGGTGATCTCAAAAATAGTGATCCCAAGGAAACCCCTGGCACAGATCAATTACTGAGTCTCCGGAGGCTTTGAAACACCAATTCAGCAACATTTGGGATCCAAAGTTTTGAAAAGTGACATCAGGACACTTAATAGTACACTACGGAATCTGTTTCACAAATATACAAATTATTCCTTCCCTCTCCCCGTTGCCTTTAAATGTCTGCAATTCCCAGTGAGCATCTGTTTCACATGCCCAGTAATAAGTCTCCTGGACAGACAGTCTGAATTCCAGGCATTGATTTGCAGTCAGTGGCTTCTCACTTGTGCAGCTCTAGACAGCAGCTTCAGCCTCCGTCACAGCAGGATTCATCCATGTGTTCCAGAGCAAGGCAGCCTCCGTCACAGCAGGATTCATCCATGTGTTCCAGAGCAAGGAGTAGCAAATATGGTTGTCTTAGTCAGTCTGGGCTGCTATGACAAAGTGCTATAAATTGGGTGCCCTGTAAACAACAGAAATTCATTTCTGACAGTTCTTGAGGCTGGAAATCTGAGATCAAGGTACCAGCATGGCTCATTTCTAGTGAGGGTACTTTTCTGGGTTTCAGGCTGCGGACTTCCGGCTATATTCTCAAATAATGGGAAGAGGGTGAGTAAGCTCTCTGGGATCCCTTTTATGGGGGCAAAAGCCCCATTCCTGAGGGCTCCACTCTCATGATCTCATGACCTCCCAAAGGCCCCACCTCATTGGGACCTACTTACCTCCCTAATTACATCACATTGGGGATAGGGTGAATGGTGGGGAGGGGTGGCACACAAACCTTCAGTGCATGACGATGCTCTACAAAGAGAGTTTGTTACAGTGGCTTCAGTTATTACAACTTTATGTTAATATATTTGAAGTGTTTATGGAATCCAGTATTAACTAATTTATTTATTCTATTACACTTTATTTAATGTTAGTTAATGATTCTCTTAGGCATTATCAATAATATTGCCAGGTAATACTAAAATAATTTAAAAGTGAAAAACTAAAACCATTACTATATAACCACTTTGGCAGTAGGCAAGAAACTGTTTTGTGTTTGTTTGTTTTCTGAATAATGATTAGTTGTCAATCTCAGGAAGATAGCATTCAATTCCAGGGTTTTCCTCCCAATTCTTTAGAAACGAAACCTTGGCACGTGTGTGGGCATGTACCTGGCTCAAATACAAGCATGAGCAGTCGGCCAACTTCCTCCAAGATTTACTACTTCTTGTAAAAACATGTCCGCACTATAAAACACATGACCTACCGTACTCAAAGGCCAGCTCTGCTCTCCTTCATAATCCCAGAAGTAGCCATTACAATGCTATCCAAGGGAGTGACGGGCCTCAGGATGCTCTTAGAGATTTAAGGAAGAATTAAATACACTACAAGAAAACATACTTCACTCTCATTTAAAACTGAAATTTAGGAAATATTGAGTCTGTTACATGCTCTGACCAGCCAGGTGATGAATTAAAAATACTTAAGAAACTCAATTATCACAGACATATCTGAGATCTGAAGAATCATATGAATTTATATGAATGTCTGACTAAATATCAACTCAGTAAATTAAAATTTCCTTTTAGTGTTTCCTTATTAATTTAAAGCAATGTAATCAAGTGCTATTGTTATAAATTTAACATAAGCCAGTGCTTTTTATTCTAATATTGGCTTAATTACTAAATCTGTTTTAATATACATTAATCCAACAAAATAAAATTGAGAGAAAAAAAAACCCTAAGTTAAAGTTATACTTGTTTCAAGAGTCTGGCCTGAAATACGTGTTTCAAACAGCTTGTTGAGCACTGTAATATGAAAAAAATTACTTGGCTAGCAGAAACATAAGCCTAATTTTTAGCTAATATGATCTTGGGCTATTTTCTACAATTTCAGTTTTCACATTTAGAATAGAAGAAGAATGAGTTGGAGAAGTTCCGTGCTTCCCAAATGGATGACAATCTGCCCCTGAAAAACTTCATAATTTCATGAATTTTTCACTCTTAATCTTTACATATATTAAGAACTATCCCAAGTGAGAATAAATCATACATTATCTGCATATTTGCAATAATTTTCCCAATGTATATACATGCAAGTTTCATTTTAAAACATCACTAAATTAATAAAATGTTTTCCCACATATTTTATCAATATTTACTGAAAAAAATAATTGTTATTATGTGATATTCTGGAAACATATTTTTACTAAAAATAAGGCTTCATACTCAAAGAAGTAGCAATCACTAGGCTAGACTGTTTTAAAGTTCTGTT